AAGCAGATAACATTTAATGTGAAAATGTCTTACAGTATTAGGATATTCGTTTGCCATATCGTCCACAGGCAATTTCAGACAATGTCTAAAAACATATGATCCATCAAAATCAGCACATAGATGGTATAGGAGGTTGAGGATGGGGAAGAAATGCATTGTTAAGATGTGTTACGTTAGTCAGCAGCACAAGATCTTCCATGTGATAGAAAGTAACAGGATATTACAGCAGCGACATTTATTCGTTTCTGTCTTTTTCCCTGCTCAATCATTACAGCTCTAACTCTCAGAATCGTCCTCATAGTAAGCAATACTGCGAACACCGCTCTCATTTCTGCAAAGAAATCAGGAGGGAGGCACAGAAACCACTGTCTTGTGACTTCCTTGCTCTGACGAGGAAATAAAAATGCTGCTGTGATCATTCTCAGGCACAAGGCAGCAGCGCACATGATGCTGCTTTAATGTTAGCAGGCATTTTCCCAAACAAGCTAACAATAGACCAATCAGATGCCAATGATAACTGCCAGGAAAGACTGTTCACTAAACCAATTTATACCACTTTTTCATTACTATTTAATATTTTTACTATATTACACCACTGCAATACTGCTTCATCTTTCTACCAGTGAAGGAGGAAAATAACATATCATTAATGTATTGATTTAAATCCAAAAAAGCCTGGAGTGAGCACCAAGCCTTTCCAAATTATGGAATTCATGCCATACAGTGTCTTGCAATGTCCAACCTCACTGTCCAGGAAACAATATCATCTCAGAGCAATGGATTGAGCAGTGGAGTCAACCTCTCATTTCAGGAAAGCCCGTTTAAAATGAAAGCCAGACATTTTCTTCCAGCAAATGTGTAAACAGAGATGTGACAAGGCAGGATCTACTGCTTTTTATCTTCCTCAACAACGAGCACTGCCTAACAGACCGGCTCTCCGCAAGACTAAAGTGAAACTGTGACTAATCAAATGAGATCTTGGGACATGCAGAGACGATGGATACTCCCGCCTAACCCTGGGCTCTTTACTAGGCCTTTCACGATCATGAAATGTTGGCTGACGATTAAGTGCCACATAAATAATTGCAATTAATTCATTTAACTTGATTTGACTTTTTTGTTAACTGTAACTAAAGTACAAGCATAAAGAAGACAAACTGCCTGATTGCTTCCTAGCTGCTGAAACTAGACCCTGTTTCAATACTTTCTGCACTCACCAACTTCGACTCACCACTCGTTTGTGTGTCACACCTGTTACACTAGTGGCCCTTAGCTCCAGTGTAGGGTAATGTTAATGCTAAGCATACAAAGACACATTAGACAATTATATGCTCCCTTTATAACTTTGTGGCAGCAGTTTGAAGAACAGCCTTCCCTGGTCCAGCATGACTGAGCGCCTGTGCACAAAGCGAGCTCCATAAAAACATGGTCTGATAAGTTTGGTGCGGAGGAACTCCAGTGGCCTGCACAGAGTTCTGACCTCAACCACACTGAACACCTTTAGGATGAATTGGAACGGTGGTTGTAAGCCAGGCCCTCTCGCCCAACATCAGTGCCTGACCTCACAAATGCTCTTTTGACTGAATAGACACAAATTCCCACAGACACACCCAAGTCTTGGTGAAAGCTTTCCCAGAAGACTGGAGGTTGTTATAGCAGCAAAATGGGGGCCAACTCTATATTAATGCCCATGCTTTTGGACTGGGATGTCCAACAAGCTCCTATAGGTGTGATGGTCAGGTGTCCACATACTTTTGGCCATGCTCTGTCTGTCTGAGGGAAATGTGTCAGATCACAATGATTTCTGAGCATGTTCTGCTGCTGAAGTCGACACTTGTGTTCCCTCGGTCAGTCACCCCTCAGAGGGCTCATTCAGCACACTTCACTTGAGCTTATATAGTAATGGAACAGCCCTTAAGATGGCACCAGGGATTCCCTCAAGGGGAAATGAAGAGGCCAAGTAGACGAGGGTTTGTTACAACCGGTATTGAAACGGGCAACAGGTTGCAATCAGTTAAAATGACTGCGATCATGTGATTATGTAATAATATAAAATATCATATCCAAAATATTTAGGCTCTGGTTAATTTGTAAACAGATCAAAGAAGCCAGCAGCATCCCACAGCCATCAGGCCATAAGGGCAATTAAACTATATCACCACCCGATCTATAATGCCTGTGTGTCTCTGTTCCAAGCTGGCTAAAAACCATGTTACTAGCACACTAATCTCATAAAGCTCTCTTTGTGTGAGAAGCCGGAATGTTTGTGGGCTGCATTCCAAGTGAGAACTTGAAGGGATCTATAAAGAGTAGACGGCCCAGGCAAAACCAGGCCTACACCACACACGGATCTGGAGAGAAATGAAAGGCATGCGGTACGAATACAATGTTATACACTATGATAAAGTACAAAGATCGAGGCTACAATATGAATACAAACTACCTGCCCTTTTTCATTCATGCTTTGCTAATGTACTGTCTGATAATAACCCCTGGGCCGACTTAGAGAGGTGCCTTCATCGTGCTCCATAAGATTATCCCCAGCCTAAACACAACCTCCTCCCTACTTTCTCACTAATACAGTGAAGTTGTTTGCCTTGGTATACATTGGACTGGCTGCCTACTTTTGTAAACACTCAGTTTGGTTCTCGTGATGCCTAAGAATGTTACTTCACCATTATTGTGACAAAGACGTTTTCAAAATATCCTGTTTCAAAACAAGGGCCCGTATCAGCCAAGTTGTTCTCACTTCTTTTAATCAAAAAAATCAGTGTGTTGATGTAGAACACACTGTTAAGGTTTCTGGACATTCCTCCGCCCATACAGTCCACATATGGAGACTAAGCCGCATAAACAGTCCATTTTAAGTTCATTGTTTTTGCGTGTCATGAAAACCATCACAATAACATTTACATTTAGTCACCTATCCATATTAAAGTTACAGGGAGCATTTCGAGACCGACTGCAGTTTGAATACAAGGCTAATTAGAACAGAGCTCATTTGCATGTATCAGTCTCAAAGGCACAGTAATAAAAACAGCCAGTTTAATTCTAAGGGATAAAGAGATTTAGGAAAACGGTAATATAAAAATTAAGTACAATCTGAATTATGATTATGATATTACAAATGTTGGTAAATAAAACCGCACAAACGTTGAAAGTCTACTTTAGTAAGAACTGTAGGATATGAGCCCATTAACAGCCAGGCTGCTGATACCGTGTCTAGATTGAACCAGTAATGGTTAAAGCATTGAGCATGTGTAGTGATATCTGTATGATCACAATAAATCAGGCACTGTCAGTTATCAACAATTTTCCTTAGTCTAGAATACTTATATAGCTTTGCCAGGAAAATTGACATTTAAAGGGGAAGTTCACCAATTTCCAAAATTTCTGCATAATTAAACGTTTAAGATGTAATGAGTGGTTTGAAGTTTAACGCCTCTAAAAGCTACTATTCGTGTTGCAGACATTGTGACCCCTGGTTCGTCTCACCACCACTGTAAAAAAAACTTTTAACATCAAACATTTTAATATTTCATCATTAATATTATTGTCTGTGTTGCTTTGTGTTTTATTTTTTTCTTACCCTATTTAGATGATTTATTTATTTATTTTTATTACTAACATGCCTAATAGTTTTATTAGTATTTTTTTATTTGTTAATCTTCTTTGTCTTATGTACTGTTTTAGTTTTTTTTTTAGTCTTATGTTGATCTTATTATCTTTGTTATACATTTACTATCATAAATTTATATTAACTCTTTTCAATCCCGTGTGGTGGTTTAAATAAAGGCTGATTGAGTGACTGATCAAACCACTCGATTCAATTATACACCAACTTTTTAAATTTGGTGGAATTCCCCTTTTACGAATACAAGTACTGCTGTAAACTATATCAAGTCTTTTTTTTTATCCCTTAAACGTAGAAAATTTATTCTGTTCCAGCTCTAAACACATCTGAGCATGGTAATCTTATTTTTAATACATTTATTTTTGAAAACCCTACAGCCTAAATCAATGAAGGACTAGGGCAGTTGGGATTAAATCCACTGAGGAACCAAACATGCTGTTTCTATATTCGTACACTGGCGACTTACCGGCTCTGAGGTCTAACACATCGCTCTGGACTCCGTCTGAAAGTGTATCATGACAGATGAAGATGAAAAATTAACAATGACATGATCTTTTCTTTCCTCAAGCTGGAGATCAGAGATCAGAAAAAGCATGTGGTTTTCTGAGCGCTGCACTCGCGCAATAATCCGACATGCACGGACGACATTCAGGTACCGAGGCTCTCTGCAAACAAGTGTCACATCCCGCTCGCATTACTGCGCAAATAGAAGCAAAACACCAAATTAAACTCAACAATACAGCCCAACATCACAGCCCAATAGCAGCTCCAGCCACCTCCCAGCTGACCAGACACAACACGGGACAAAACGTCCTTCCGCACTGTGCAAAAAAACGGTCATAATAAAAGCTGACCTGAAAATCAAACACGGAAAGCCACAAAGATCCAGCATAGAAAGTTTGATCTGCTCGTAATAGACTTTGCCTCAGTATTAAGATAATTTAGAAAGATAAATAACAAAAAAACTACCCTGTTCAAATGTATGATGATATTATGATAATAATAATGTTAATACAGTTGTTTTAAATTTAACTGTAGAAAGCATTTATGTCATCCTTATTTCATTGTTTTTGTCGTTTAAAAAATAAAAGAGAAAAATGAAAAATGCCCTGCTGCAACTCGCTTTATCTTCAGATCTCATCTGTTTTCTTCAAAGAAATAAATAAATGAATTAATGAATGTATTTTCTCAATACAATTCATAAAGTCATAGCTGACCAACTGTCCCCTTCTTCTAAATGCACTCTGTGTATTTCTCTAGTTGTCACAGTGGAAAATGATCTCTTTTTCGTTCTTTCAACGTTGTTTGAAAAACATTTGAGTGCGAGCTAGGACTTTTATTTTGAAACGAAGCTCGTACAGTCTGTCAGCATGGCTGAAACGGTTGGTGACGGTGTGGCGGCTCCTCTGCCTGGAAGATGCGCCTTTTACGTTGTAAAGAAGAAACGCTACTGCAAAATGGTCGTTGGAAGTGGAAAAGCGTTTTGTGGTGAACACGCGAATGCAGTATGTGCGCAAACTTACCGCGAAGTTTCTGCTCCGTCTGCGTTTCTCTGGCTGCTGCAGATCTGAGTGAACTCTGTTAACTGTAGCCCATCACCATGTTTACCTGCGCTGCTGCAGCTCGGCGTGTTTTCTGTTTCCCTGTGTTGATTAATCTTCTGTCTCTGTGTCTCCCAGGATAAAGACAGTGAGAGGAGAAGGATCCCCTGCCCTCTGGACCCTAAACAGTGAGCTCACACCACACACTGATAAACAGTGTGAGGGGAAAAACACTTCATTGACTTTCATGGAGGCCAAATTCAATAGAAAGTCAAACTCAGCTCAGTACAAGCTGTGTGAATCTGTGAGGTCTCTGTGTTGGACTTTAGTAATTAGGGTTGGGCTGGTATCAAAAATACTGATGCAATATTGATACATTGATTTTGATACCGATTCCTGAGCGATACATTTTTCAATACTTTCTTTTTTCTCCGGGGTATATTTTGACTTGTCCATCTGAATTTACATGACCAAATCATAAGGCAAATTATTCAGTAACTGCATGATATAAATGTACATTTTTATTGTATTTATTTATTTATTTTTTGTGAAAGCTCCCTCAGATTAACAGAACTTGTGTTTTATGATCACACATATTGCTATATGCTTACAATTTACTGCTGAAAGCCAAAAATCTTAGAAGCTCTTTGTATTATTTTATAAAAATAATTTTTACAGAGCAGATCACTGAAGAGACGCCATCTGTTTATAGCTTATAGCCCAGACTTGTGGAAAAATGGGTCGACTTTAAGTAGACAAAAAAACTGAGTTCAGCTTCTTTTATTATAAGGGTTTAAACCTACATCACCCATCTATTTGACTGGAAAGAAGACAGTTACAGCTCTCATACGACCCCCACCTTTAGAATGTAGCTTATGAAATATGAAAGTTATGAAGAATATGACGAAGTGCGTTTTGGAACCACCGGTTAATCCGAAAATTATTATATATAAAAACACTATATATAATGTATCTCTATATCTATACTGTAGTACACTATAGTAAAAAAAGACTGTTCTGAAGGGTTTTTTTAGTAAAGGAAATGGTTCTGTTTAGAACCATGAGTTCTGTATAGAACATGTTTCATGTTGTAATGGTTTTTAAGATTGATGGAGAATGTGTTGTATATGGTTCTATATAGTATCAAAAGTGTTCTTATATTGGTACAAGCTTGACATTGCAGCAATAGCAGAACCCTTTTTGGTGCTTTATAGAGCCATTTTCAAAAAGGTTCTATATGGAACCATATACAGCCTTCTCTCCATCAATCTGAAGAGCCATTTCACCATGCGAAGAACCATTTAAGCAGGAAATAGGTTCTATGTAGAACTGATGGTTCTAAATATTGCTTTTGCTAAAGAACCCTTGAAGAACCACCTTTTTTAAGTGTGCTGGTTTGCCAATTTTTTTGTTCACTGTTTGCAGTGGGTCAAGAGTCAAAAAGACAATACAAATAAAGGAAGATGGTTAAAATGAGTTTTTCAACATGTATTTTGTAATATTTCACTATATTTTATTATTGAATTACTTCAAAAATGTGATTTAAAAAAAATGAGAAAAATTTTAGTATACATCTAGTCTAATATTTGTTCTCTCATTGTGTGAGGGGGTGGGATTATGGTTATTTTCTGGTGGGCAATTTCACTATAGGTCAACTTAACAAATACAAAAAAAAGCTCTTTAAAACAAAAATTACATTCCACATGTGCTCCTTTTTACACAAACCTACATCTAAATATAATTATTTTTGTTAGCATTATTACTTTTAAGATTTTATTTTGCTGGTAAGACTTGAATTAAAATTAGATTTTTAATCACTCAGAATTTTTTTACACTCAGCAGTGTTGAAATAATTCAGTTAGTGCCGTAAAAGTATTATGATACCCAGCGCTAGTAGTAATATGGCAAGGCTGCTATGTTAAGACATTGTTCTCTTTGGACAGCACTGTGTTTGAAGACAGTTTGGCAAAACACCTGAAAAAGTGCAACTCAAAGGAGAAGCCCAAGCCTGTGAGTACTTCATCCTTACGTTCATACTGAACTTCTTATCCACCATGTTCTCTTATTTCCATCCTGACACAATCAGTACTCCATTTAATCCTGTCTCCTAATCTTGTTTGGTTTTCCTAATAGGTTTATTATGTAAAAGACATCAATGCTGGGTCTGTAAATGAAGAGGAGGATGCCGTAGATGAGGTGACCACTGCAACACACATGATAAATGGCTTTCACCTAATGCAATACCTAAGAGTGGCCGATGTAATGATCCTTATCATGATAACTTATGCCTCAGTACTCTTTTCTGAGTATATCATGGGTATCATTAGTATTTGTAGAACACTGAACAACTCATGGATCATAAAACAGACAGATTAAGAGTAACAGTGAGAGGTGGGTGATATGACAGTATTCTATTGTTATCGTAAAATTTTGTTATTGTTGTAAACAATTTGCTATTGTGGATATCGTCAGTACTTAAAGAACACTGCATGAGAGCATAATTAGTGCTGTTTATTGGATTTAGTGCGGCACAGTATGTAAATGTTGAATACAAATCATATTTGTATTACATTCATTGTTTTTATGGAAGTTTTTTTAATGTGGCAGCACCAGAACATTTAGTCTTTCTGTCAAAATGTTGTGATGCGTATCATGAAAATGTCTTTAAATTTTGTAATTTGAGATTTTTTGCCATATCACCCAACCCTAACAATAAACAGTGTATAATAACTGCCTAAAGTAGTATAGGAACAAGTAGCTGATTGGATGCCGGCCTATTTTCACAGTGTCTTATTTTCTTTATTTGTTTTTACCAGTTGTTTTTTTTTTTCTCTTTTTCCTTTTTAAGTAGTTTATTTCTGCAACATTGTATTCAGTTTTTCGCAGCCTTTAAGATTTGGCACCACAGTTTTACTGGTGCGTTTTATTCCAACTTTTTTGCAAGCCTTAGGTTTATTTTATGAATATAACTGAATATCAAAATACATATGTTGAACATTTTAATTATCATAATGTTATGTTTTTGGCATGTTGCTCACCCATTTGCCTCACCTAAATCTTTTTAACATGAATGCATGTGTTGACTAATAAATATGATGTTATCAACTAAAGGTGTCCATCGCTGAGCGGACCAAAGAGGAGTTGGATGACCTGATTGGGAAAATGAAGACTGCCCTGCAAGGTATTGATGCCACACCTTTGACTATATCATGCTCTTCATGATCTTTCTGGGAATAAAAGCCAGATTTATGGAAGCTTTTAACACCAGTTAATGATTTTTAGGCACAAATGATCACCAATAATACGATTGTTATCAGATTTCGGCATTTATCAGTTTATTCGTCATGTAAACAGCATAATCCAATTTCTTAGATTGGATTTTGGATTTCTATTATCAGAAATTGTATATTATATATTTCTATTATATAAAGAGCCATGGATACTCTGATTTTAGTTTTCTTGTTTGTAAACAGAGGGTAGAGCTGCCTTTAACGCAGCACCCGTAACATGGCAACAAAACACTTTTAGAGCGATGATGAAACCAACTACGTGCTTACAGTCTTTTAGATGATTTATATTCATATGTGCCAATAAAGTGACTTAAAGTGGCATAAAGTTCGAATTTTAAATCACAACCTTTATCTAAAAGTTTATTGACAGATTGCAAAGCAGAAGTTTGACAGTTGCCTGACTCATGTAGACCTAAACCAGGGGTCAGCAACATGCGGCTATTTTACTGCCCTGTTGTGGCTCCACAGCAGAATTAGATTTTTAGGTAAAAATAAAATAATCCTCCTTTGCAGTAAAATAAAAGTCTGCTGATCGTTCAACACAGTTTAACAATAAATGGTCTTAAACACTGGAGTGAATGTAGCCTATAACTTGCTAATTCACTGTTTAACTCTGAAAGTTGGTGCACAGACTGCTGGTCATCATAGCAATGCAGTCAGCAGTCTCGCCTAGCTAGTAGCTAACGAAACAGCAAAGAGAGAGATTTAAGACGAGTATCGATAATTTATAGATGAACTGATTTATTTGCATTTGTACTCCAGCTGGTTTACTGACATGTTTAATCTGCAATGAGAAACTGTCAAACACTAAAAATCCTGAAGCAGAAGTCGCTTCTCATTCAGCTTCTTGTTCAGATTTTCCCGTTCCACCTAAATGGTACAGGAGTTACAGTCTGGTGCCGTTTAAGGTGGAGTGGGAAAATTCGAACAAGAAGCTGGCGAATGAGAAGCTGACTTTGGCCTCGAAAAAAAGTCAAACGTTGAGGGCCTTTTTCAAGAAACTGTCTACTTTTGCGGAAAAGTTTCCTGCCGGAGATGCGAGAAAAGTGGCTATAACTGACAAAATCTGATTTTCTGCATTTATTGGATTATTAAGTGCATATAAACACACTGAGTGTAATAAATGTGTTGGGAAATGTTTTGAATTTCGGGTAGAAGTGTTTCTCCAAATGATTAACACAATCATTTCACTCAATCATTTCAGGATTGAGCATCAAACCTGTCAGTGACATCCTCTCTCATCCAGCTCTAAATGAAGCTCTCAATGATCCAAAGAATGGCAACTTTGCTTTCAAACACCTCAAGCAACAGGTAATAATCAGAACAACTAAACTTCTTAAAACGTTTATCAAGATGAAAGTCACTATGTGTGGTTTGTGAAACAGGCCTCGATCCTGGGGAATATGGAGGCTTTGGAGCTGCTCGGTCCTCGCAGGTGCTACGTTGAGTTTGGTGCTGGCAAAGGGAAGCTTTCACATTGGATTCATGTTGCACTTCAGAAAGCTGAGGACGTCCACTTTCTGCTAGTGGAGAGGTCCAGCACTCGGTTTAAGGTATGCATAATAATAATGATAGTGAGGGGTTGTTTTAGCCCATTTTCATTCTGTTGTTAAGCTTATTAATATTTACCCAGTAACATCTGTGTAGTGATTCCCACAAATATCTCTTATTTCTTTGGTTCGGTGCTGCATGGCCAGTAAAAAGCTCATGTTACAGACCTACAAGCTAATACACAACCATACAAGCCTTATTTGAATACCCAGTTAAGTGAAAAGAATACTGAGATGAGTTTATATACCTGTATATATTAGAACATATTAACTATGAATTATGAAATAGGTGAAATGACACAGAGTGTGAGCAGTCGTGGGCTGGAGGTTAGGGAACCAGCCTTGAGACCGGAGGGTCGCCAGTTCGATCCCCTGAGCTGACATGTTCAATTAGAAAATGGCCAATATGACAATATTTTATTATTATCGTGATACACAGTAAGCTTTTCTTAGTAGGGAACATAATTAGTCCTGTTTAATAGGTTTTAGTGCAGAACAGAAAGTGAAATATTAGTTCTTGATAGAGTTTTTACATGTGGCACTGCTCCTGCATTGTGGCTGTGTGATACATATCGAATATCATGAAAATATCTTTAGGTATTGTGATATGATTTTTTTTGCCATATCGCCACCCCTGTGTTGAATACAAATCATTGTATTCACAGTTTTTGCTAGTATATTTACATGTGGAACTACTTTCTTCTGTTCCAACTTATCAGATGTCAAAAATTCATCTCTATAGTAAGGAACGGTACAGGAGATCATCTGTACCAACAGTGTTTGCGCTGTACAACATGTCGTTACTGTGTCGAGACATGATTGTATACTGAGCACCAACTGGACATTATATCTCTCTACTCATTACCATGCACTGCCACTTTGTTTATACACTAAGGCATATTTCACAACTATTAACATAAGTCAGTGTTTATAGTGTTTTGTCACTCGGTTCATTCACTGGACGTGACATGCACCACTGCATTGTCACCTGCATAATATTTATGCAATTTTACTTACTTAATTTTGTGCTGCATATTACATTTTATGGTTGTTTTAGCAGATTTTATTATATATCTTTACTTCTTTTTCTATTTATGCATCTGTATTGCAGTGCATAGAAATAATTTAGCTCTTTACTGTACTTTGTGCTGCTGTAATAGAACTATCTATCTAATAATAATCTATCTATCTAAATTATAAACATTATTACATAACATTATGATGGCGTGAAAACTTCTTGAAGTATCATGGTATGTATTTTTGCCGTATTGCAGCCTCTACTATATACAGTATGTAAGCGTGAGGAAAGAGAAAGGACTTACCGATGGGCCCAGTGGGGTTTATTTATTTTCCCCAGCCTCATTTTAACATGTGAGACCTGATCATCTCTGCTTTTCTTACTAAAATGCTGTTTTCTTGTTTGTTAAGGTAGACGGCAAACACAAAAACACAGACTCAACATTTGACAGACTACAAGTTGATATTCAGCACCTTGATTTAAGTAAGTGACTTGATAATTGACAATTTCATCCACACATGACAAACCGGAGTTGATTGCTGAAGTTTATTTATTCCTGATGATGCTAAAGAGTGAATGGACAGATGGACGATGGAAATAAATGTGACACTTTTTTCTTTCCCATAAACCTCTGTAGGAAAAGTTCCCATTTTGAGAGAAAAGGGGCTTCCGGTGATTGCAGTGGGTAAACACCTGTGTGGTGCAGCAACTGGTAAGTGGTGGGAACATGACCTCAGCCATTCTGATGTTCATGTTATTTGCTTTTTCTTTTTGGCTTTTGCTTTTTTCTTGTAAGCTCTTACCAATTTTCTTTCTCTGTGCACAGACCTGGCTCTGAGATGTTTATTTGAGCATGGACTTAGAGAAGAAGACAGTCAGCCGCCCACCAAGCGTATAAAGCTGAGTGAGCGAGCTGAGGAGGAAACGGCGCCCCCTATCCCAGCAGACGACAAAGAAACTAGAGGAGAACTTGTAGTATCAGGAGTTGCCATTGCCCTGTGCTGTCACCATCGCTGTGACTGGAGGCATTACGTGGGGAAGGAGTTCTTCAGAGAACGAGGCCTTGGACCTAGAGAGTTCGCTGCCTTCCAGCGCATGTCCAGCTGGGCTACTTGTGGCATGAGTGGAGTTAGCCACGCCCACAAGAAATCCCTACAAGAGAATGTCAGTGCGACAGAAGAAGAAGAAGAGGCTGAACATGAAGGGAGTTATGAGACAATACCAGATAACCTCAACAGGTCAGTAAGGCTCAGCAAATATACTCAGCAGACTTGCTGGGGTCAGTGTCTTCTTGATAACTGTTGTATCTCTGTTCCTTGTTAGCGCTGTATCAGCAGAGGAGCGAGAGCACATAGGACGCCTGTGCAAGATGCTGATCGACCACGGAAGGCTGCAGTACCTCCAGCAAAGAGGCTTCAAGTCCAACCTTAGATATTACACCAGCAGAGACGTGTCCTTAGAGAATGTGCTGCTGACTGCTGTTCCTGTCTAAAATCCTGCACCCTAATGCTGGAAACAGGCATTACATATACATACAAACATTACACACATACAGCAAGGAGCATATTGTTGCTGTCATCGCAAAACCTCAGAACTCCATTTTTTGGTCTTTTTTTCTTCTTACTCCATTTGAAAATGGCAGCTGCTTTTTACGTAGACTTCTGAAGTCGTGTCAGCAAAATGCCCATATAAGGAATTCAGAGTCTAAGCTGGTGTTCTGTATGGGGGGATAAATGAACAGCATTTTCGAACAAAAATGTTCCAAAGCTGATATGTTTTGTCCTGCATATATTTTATTTCAAATATCACTAAATCCTCTGAGATCCTTAATGCTGCGGTCTGTAAGTTTGTTTTGTTAAAATTGAAAGAAATAGCATCACAGAGTCAAGACAACACGCAACGCGAAACTTACATAGTGCAGCTTTAAGTAGTCGAAAATGAATATTGTTACATAAAAGTTAACGCTACCGCTCATTCAAATGACATCAAACTGACAACCTCACCAAAACCCCATGCAAAGCTTTGTCCAAGTGTGTGGTAGTTAAGTTGCTTTGGCATTTGTAGCCTAGAGTTTGTGTAGCTGGAATTGATTTGAAATGGAGTTAAATTACAGAATTAGACTAACGTTCATGTAATGTAATTTCAATGCTCAAGCGTGTTAGCTTGCTTGTAGCATTATGTATATTTCGACTGCTAAATGGCCTCTCAATTCAGAGGATCCAGTGACATACAGAGGGAAAAGTGTACGCAGGACAAAATGGATCAGCTTTGGAACATTTTTGTTTACCCCATGGCACAAGAGCAGCGATTTTTTAAAATGGCATTCATTTTTCCCATAGAGAAGAACAGCTTAGACCTCAAGTTCCTTCTTTGGACGTAAGAACGCACAACTTTAGAGGTTTACTGCGTGAAAATTTTATGACGAATGGACTAATAGAAATAGTCCAAAATGACTTGGAATAATATCTTGTTACATTGGCGTACATTAAAATAAGAAGTTACATTAGAATATGAGTTTTTCCATGTATAAAGTTTCCTTTTCTGAGAAATGAGGGTTTTGTTATGACAGTGACTAAACATTCTTTCTTTTGCCATGAACATTTGGACAGACTGGCAGCAGCTGGCACAGTAAGCAGTTGACACAACAGCACAAATAGCAGTATGGTGCCCCCTAGTGCACTGACTAGAATGCAGAAGAGGCTTTACAGGACGTGCAGGACAGATGGGACAGGACAGGCCACCGTGGACGAAAGAGCAGAGCAGACGGTGGCATGCAGGACGTCACTATGATGACGCAGTGATCTCTAAACCACCGTCCACCGTCACATTTAGCACAGAGGTGTAAGTCTGGGAATCTGGAACACATAGATTGAAATCAGGTTATTCACAGACGTTGTAATTTTAGCTTTATTTTATTTTATTTTTTCATTTTTATATGAAAACTGTTCTAGTATTTGTGCGCACGGTGCACATTGAGTATAGCGTAACCTCTTTTGCGGGCCTCGTGGATGTAGTGGTGCATGAACTCTCGGCCAAACATTTCCCTGTCGTTCTCCTCTTCGTCCACATCCTCTTTCACATCTGGCAGAGTCACGTCGTAGGTCAGCGGATTGTCTCTGAAATTTACAAACCTGCCAGAAAAATCATCGTAAAACCTTAATTTATACATGATTCTTTTTATTCATCAGTAAAATTGGAATTTTCTCTTTCTGTGTTTCTGTGTGGAATCTGTCAACATGGGAGCTTTTGTCTGCATTGCTCTTGCATGAAGCCAGAAAGTTCAAAAAGAAATAAATGAAATGATATAAAAGATAATCACACGAAAACACAAGCTGAGCTTTAAAGAGGAACTTTTTCAAAATATCTCCATAGTTCTGTTGTTAAGATGTGGTTTGATGTGAAATGGTTCACTGTAGAGAAACTGACTCCGATTTCTTTACAGTGGTGCTGATAGGAACCAGAGTTTGCGATGTTTACAACACAATATAACCATTTTATTTACTATCCAAAACCACCAGTGAAGCTACACGAGTCTTCTGAGTTTTAGTATGTAATGTTGATGATGGTAAAATTGTGATTTATCTGAAAAACAAAGTTTTCTGAGGACTGATTTGCCCCACAGCACCCTGCATGTATCTCTCCCTCATGAAAGTCTTTTTAAATGTATTTATGTTTTAGGCCAAAGTCTTCTCAAAAGTATTATAAAACAAAGAGGGCGTTTACATGCATTCAATAATCTGATAACTGCAGAAAATCAGATTTTTTCAGTAATCCAATCAACGCGTTTACATGCACTTGAGTAATCAGATAATGGGAAAACGCCAGGTCTACATGAGTCAGACAGTAATCAGATTTCTGCTTTGCAACCAGCCAATAAACTCACAGAAGACGTGATGTAAATGTAATGTAAAACCCGAACTTCATGCCTCAGCTTTTTTTCATCGTGCCACGTTACCAGAAGATATGAACATACATCATCTAGAAGATGAAGAATATTTAAATCCTTCATTTCGTCAAGCATGTATTTGGTTTCAGCGTCACTCTAAAAGTGTTTTGCTGCCATCTTGCAGCAACGCTGCTTACTTATTTCTGGTACCGCCATCTGTTTTGGCACATGCGCAGACTGAGAAACCTGAAAGAAATCAGAGTAAGAGTTCACATGCACTGAGAAATCTCATTACTCAGCTAAAATCCAGCTCTCTATATTGGATTTCTTAATCAGATTTCTAGACCTTACTCTGATCTAAAAAATCAGAGTATGCTGTTTACCTGACCATTTGAATAATCAGATAACTGCAGAAATCCGATTATGATCGGAATATGCAGCCTGCATATTCATAACCATTTTACATAATGACTTTCTGTGGGGGAGCTTCTCTATAGGCATTGAACATTTTTGACGTCTGGTTCCCATCACTACCACTGTGAACAATTCTGAGTAGAAGCATTTCATATCAAAAGACTCTGAATGAATTTGTTTACACCTTTATGATTTTGAGAAAATTGGCAACACCTTTAAATGTAAAGGTGCCTAAATGGTTCTTGCTTTAGGTTCTTCACACTCACCTTAACACTAACGTTCTTAGTTAGGATTTTAGTTTCTCAGCCTCAAATCCAACCGTGAGTTTATAGAAAATACTATTTGAGCCTTTGCAATGGAAAACAGTACATGTGACATTTTTTGTAAAGTTATATACACATGGTGTGGCCTTGATTGATGCCCTGTATTTAACATAAAGGGGTCACTAAAACATAAATAAAGCGTAGTTTGGCTTTTTAATGTAAAAGTTTGTACAAAATGAAATGGTAAACAAAATAACTGATGATCCAATAGAAGGTGGAACGTTTAATAAGGTTTTATGGGCTCAATTAACACATTTTTGCTTTTCATTTTTATAAAGTATTCAGTAGTAAGCTTAGGGTTCAGGGGTTAAAGAACTAATGATTAAAAAGTTTTTTAGGGAACTAAAGGTGTTTCTTCTCTGGCGGCGCTCCAAAGAACGCTTTTTTGCACCTGCATTTTTAAGAACGTAGAAAAGTGCGTCACCTGAGGTTTGTCATGCCCTCCATCAGTGGAGGGATGTCTCTCAGCTTGTTCTTGCTGAGCACCAACGTGTCCAGATTGGGCATGCGGCTAATGTTGTCTGGCAGATACTCCAGCTCGTTCCTCTGTAGCCACAGTGTGTGTAACCTCTCCATCCTGGATCACGAAAATATAACAAATTTGTGAGGGATTATTTACAACTGTATATCCAGCAGTTGGTTCAAATAAAGGATGTTAGCATTGACTAGAGATCTACGTCCTGCAGAGAGTTCAGAGACTCCTTATCTGACTTGACTCTGAGGGTCTTGATGTTGGAGTCTCTTATGTTAAACTGTGGCCAAACCTTATAGATCTCAAAGAGCAGAGTTGGGTTTAAGGGTGAATAAGTACAGTTAAAAGGGCACCTGTGGATGTCATCTGGTAATCTCTCCAGCCTGTTCCCTCCCATGTCCAACCACTCCAGAGCAGGGAGACTCACCACACACTCAGGGATTGTGGTGAATTGGTTCATGGAGAGGTCCAGGTGGTACAGTTTCTTAAGATTGCTGAGCTGCAGAACCAAGATTTTCCTTTGTGAATATTAGAAACAATTAAAATTTGTAGATTATTCAAACTTTGTGCATAATTTAATGGTTGAAATGCAAACAAAGTGATTGAGTAGCTTGTAGAGAAACTTTCTGTAGAGCAATTTCTTTACTCCACCAATTTTTCAAAAAAAAAATTCTATATGATTAATATGCAAACAAATTGTTTAGAGTGTTTTTATGTGAAATTGTACATTATATAGAAGCTTATTGACTCAGATTTCTTTACACTAGTGGTGATAGGAACCATGGACACAATGTCTACAACACAAATATATTTTTTAAGGCCACAATTTTAACACAAAACTGTTGTAAAACAATGTCTTGGACATCAGGCAGCGTATTCAGAACTGTTTCATGTAATAACTTTCTGTGAGGGAGCTTTTGGAGGTGGATGTCCGGTTCTTATCACCACCACTGTGAACAGTAAGTTTCTCTAGAATGGAGCATTTCACACCAAACCACTCTGAAGGGCTTTGTTTACATCTCAACCGTGTAATTATGCAGAAATTTTGAAAAATTTGGTGGAGTTCCGCTTTAAGTTCCTCAGACGTCTGGTTCCCATCACTATTACTGTCACTAATCTGACTGAAGTTTTTCTGGAGTCAATTTCTCATTTCACATCAAACCACTCTGAATTACTGTTCACATCTTTACCATTTAATTATGCAGAAAAGTTGAAAAGCCTGTGAAATACCCCTTTAAAATCCAAATCTTACACAGTATGTATTGTATACAATTAAGCTGAGACATGCAATCAGAGCACTGGCCTGTTTCATTATACCTGCTCAGGCAGCTCGTCCAGATCTGAGTTCATTGCCAGTTCCAGCTTCTCCAGACTCTCACAGCTGCTCAGCTCCTCTGGCACACAGCTCAGCCTGTTATAGCTCACTAGCAGCTCTCGTAACCGAGTTAATTGACCTGACGAGAAGACCATCCAGCACTTTCCATTCATTTTCACGGCAGTATGAAAGCTCAGTGGTAGACTTTGATGAAGGAAAGATAACACAGGACTCTGTAGAGCACACTAACCTATTTCTTTAGGGATTTCTTTGATCGAGTTGCGGGACAGGTCCAGCACAATGAGGCCCTGGAAGCTGGAGATGAAGCGGGGGATCTTCTGAAGGCCTGTCCGGTGCAGCTGCCACTCCTGAATGTGAGTGAGCTGGACCAGCGCTGGAGGGAGAGTCTGTAACAGCACATCTGTGAAATGCTATGTGGGCAAAGCAACATAGTGGAGCATGAAACAAGTAGTACAGAACTTCAGGGGTTACATAGTACCTTCCATTCCTCCTTTTCAATGCGTAGGATGACCCTCCCATCCTCCGTCACTACTTTTTCCTTTAATTTGGCCAAGGTGATCCTGTCCTCCCATGCTCCTGCCAACCTGAGGCCCAGAATAAAACAACCACTAACTACACCTTTCAGGGTCATTTTAAGGTTCAGTATGACAGAAATGCCTTCCTTATTTTTGACGACCCACTCTTCTGCAAAGTTTTATGCTTTTACTAGAGCAGGCCCGGCACCAGATCAAGGTCATAGTGGGGTGTCCATGTGGCACAAAAAAAGCTGAGGAGCTAGATATGATTCAGGAGAGAATCAACAGCCACATTTACAGCAAATCAGTCTGTCCATATAGGGTCATCTTTCCACAACGTACAGTGTCAGTGAGGAATTCAAATCCTCCTATGTTAAATAATGTGGCCTTTTATATTGGCCGCGTGCACAAGGTTTACTTTAACTGTGATTGTATTTTATGGCCTGCTATTACAAAAGCATGTACCAAAATTAGTAGGTTTGGTGGGGTGTGATGATTGGCTTGTGGGCCACTGCCCCACTAAATAACCCCCTGATGCCAGGTCTGTACCAGAGGTGGGTAGAGCAGCTTAAAGCCTTACATAAATAAAAGTGTGGCTACTTCATTGATGTAATGGCTCAAGTAAAAAACAAATAGAAAAAATATATCAGGTCTAAAACCTCCAGTGCTGACTGCCCTACACTGAAAAAATGATCTTATAATATTCTCACAATCTTAAAATAACAGTCTTAGAGAAATAAGAGATATATGAACTTGATTTAAGATGATTTCACTTGCCAGAATATCATTTTTTGCAGTACATACACATATGGAAAAAAATATATGGACATATACTTTGGTATATTTGAAATACATTTCAAATACATTGCAATCCATCCCAAAATACATTCCAAACACTAAAGTATACTTCATAATATATTGCCATATTAACCAAATATATTTTAAAATACATTTATTTTGAAATGTATTGGGAAATATCACACACAGAAATGTACCAGATAAAAATAAATATATGTAAACAAATTTATCAAATATATTCGAAAATGTATGAAAATAGCCAAAATGCCGTCTAATGCATTTTACTGTTTGGATACCTTTTAAACTAAATCTGTATTCCAGTATCTGTCCAGTATTTTAATATTAGCAAATTAATCTTTAATATGGCAAAAGTGTTGTAGGTATTGATACTCTGTGAAAATGCAGTTGTGATTTGATATCTTGTTTATTTGAAACTCAGTCAGTACCTTTTAGTTATATCAGTAAACTTTGTTAAAGCTCCACACCACTAAAAAATAATTACAAATACAAATAAATGCATTTTAAAAATATGTTTGACAAATACATTTTTGGTCATTTTCAAACGGTGCAAAAATATATTTGATAAGTACATTTGGAATATATTTTTCCATAAGAGTATAACTGCAGTGGAACTTCATAAGTACATTTATCAGTATGGAACCTGCTCTATTCTTCTCTTTTTGAGATCTTTTTATTCTAAAATAAACACCAAAGCTCCAAAGTAAAAATAAGACAGTTGAACTATCATAAAACAATGTCTCTACATGAAAAATTCTACATGATTAATAGGGATTAGTTTCTTTATAGTGGTGATAGGAACCAGGGGTCACAATGGCTACAACACAAATACAGCTGTTTTATTTACTATCCAAAATGACCAGTGAAACTACCACATTTTTATATGTAATGTCCTGCATTTTTATGCATAAACCAGCGGTAGCATTACTGGAGAGATGGTTCTGAGCTCCTGCTGTCTGAACCGTGCTGAGTCACATCACTATATCACCTCTCATTAATACACACTGCAATATATCATAACTGCTACTGTAATGACGCTCTCACTGCACACTTCAGACTGTAAATACTGCTGATATGCCTAGTTATGTTCATACTCATTGTGTGGTAACTGCCTCATACCACTTAGTGCAATACCTGCTCTCATGTAAATACAACAAATCTGTCTTATATGCAATGTAAATATGCAAATAGATATACTTTATTCCTATTCTCTCATAGTTTACTCATATGTCTATTTTTCTATTTCTGCCTGATTTATGTCTGTTTTTATTCATATTTTTATTTCTGCCTAATATATGTAAGTCTGTGTGCAATTAAATGTCTTCCTACTGTAACGGCAATAAAGTTTTGTCTATCTATCTGTCTCTATCTAATGGTTTTCTAAAAGTTTTTTTCAGCAGGGATTAGGCACAAATTTTGAAAGATATGGTGAAATTCCCCTTTAAAACCAAATAGAGAAGGGGTAACTGTGACTTAAGTAAAAAGTAGATTATTTTCCTTGCAAAAAAACACTAGTACAAGTAGAAGTATCATCATTTGAAAGCACACATGTCACTCAAGTCTGTGTAAATGAGTAAACATAACTAGTCACTGCCCACCTCTGGCCTTCAGCGCCCTAAAACATCACCTCATCAGCTGAATATCAAAGACTGGAGTAGATAAAGCAACTGTAACACTAGAAAGAAAGAACTTGACTGACTGACTGACTCTGTGACTGCAGATTGAAGGTGAAGTGATGAGCGTCACTCACCGTCCCACTGCCGCTCTCTCCCTCTGCTCCTTCTCTCTCTTCAGATCATCCTTGGTCTTCTTTATCCTCGTCTCCCACAGAGCCTTGATGGAGTTCACTGTCCCAAAGCACACCGTCACCCCGGTCATGATGACCCTGCACACACGCACCTCCCCCCACGGTGACCACTGGAGCTCTGCTGTGCGTTACTAAGCAGAGGGGTACAATAAAAGACAAGAGCGTGTGACCTCAGAGTGTACTTTTCATTACTAAAACAACAGAGTGTAGTTATAATGATTGTTGAAGATTTTTAAAGGGCCATATAGTGAAAATATACTAAAATTGCTAATTGATAAAAATAATGAATGAGTTTGATTGAGTATGTATACATTGTTTCAAATGACATAGTTCACTTCACAGTCCATACATGGACACTAAGCTGCCCATTTTGCATTCATTGTTTTTGTGATGTCATAAAAACCAGCTCATTTATATGAGAAGTTTCAGTCAGGTTTTCAGTCTAACCACAGTACTGAGGCAGCATTGATTCGTGTTATGAATGACCTCAGGCTCAGGTTTTATTTCTGGTTTTATTAGATTTTAGTGCAGCTTTTGATACTGTTGACCACAAGATTTTAATCCAGCGTCTTGAATGCTGGGTCGGCCTCTCAGGCACAGTTTTAGAATGGTTTAAATCATATTATGGTAATAGGCAGTTCATGCTTTCAATGGGAAATCATTCATCAAAAAGATTTGGCATTTATTGTGGAGTCCCACAAGGTTCAATTTCAGGGCCTTTGCTTTTCCAATTGTACATGCTGCCTCTAGGTGATGTCATTAAGAAACATAATATAAATTTTCCTAGCTATGCTGATGACACCCAGTTATACTTTTCCATTCCTTCTGATGATCAAGGCTCAGTACACAGACTGACCAGCTATGTGTCAGATATTTCTTAGTGGATGTTGCAAAATCATCTGTCTGTAAAGCACTTTGAGCTGCCACTGGCATGAAAAGTTCTATATCAATAAAAATTATTATTATTATTATTGTTATTATTATTATTATTATTATTATTATTATTTACATATATCTCCTGTCCATCCTACAGCAGTTAAGCTCTGCCCATTCATGCTGATGTTATAAGGAGTGTTTTGGCCTGGGGTGCTTTGTGCATGAAGCAGCCAATCAGAAGAGAGATAATTTACATGTATCTGTCTTAAAGGTGCGGTAACAAAAACAGCCTGTTTGACTGTAAATTTTATGTAAAAATGAATTATGGCTCTTTTTGGTGCACAAAATGACAAATATTATAAGTGGGGGACATAAATAAAACATGCTAAGAATGCAGGATAGGGGCTCTTTAACATTGCAGACAAGCTTATATTAAATGAAAATGGAGCTATAAAACTCATACTATATAAATTAAAGATGTTTAAATTGTTTATAGTCTACTAAAATTAAATCTACTGCTATTGTAACATATTTAAAGACAGCTGAGAAAGACAGCACTTACCTCTCTCATCAGCTCAGCTCAGTTTCTGCGGTGTCTCTTGACATTTCCAGTCCTGAATTGCTCTCTCTGGTTGCACACAGATCTCACCAACGTTACACCGGCACTGAAATTCCCTCAACAATCCCAAAGTGTGGAAAGAAGTGCCTGCTTTGCTTAAAAAGTAATTATCCTGATGGTGTTTGTCATTGGTTTTCCCACATGAAGAGTAACTCTGGCCAGGGTCTAAATTTAGAGCCAACGCTGGGAATAGTGAGGTCACATGGCAGCGCTGGCACAAAAGCAGCTGTCTCCTGACACACACGGCTTCAAAAAGACCCCCGAGAATGGAGCAGGCATAGCCAGATCAACAATGGACAGTATCTCCAACAGGCTCTGGGAGTCAGAGTGAGCTCATAAGCATAGCAGGGATCATGTCACTGCAGAGACATTTAGTCTACATCTCTAAACTAGTCTAAGCTTCCCATTATGGCCTGTATTTGAACTTAGATTGATATAATTATTTAGCAATTCTAACATGATTAGCTGTGGAAGGAGGACATGCCATTGAAGCTATTTAGATAACGAAGAACATCTCCATGGTATAATGATTTTTGCCTGCAGGCAAATGGTTTGACTTAATTTATTTATTCATTTAGAAGTCATTCATTCAGTCATTCCAATTCAGCAATATGTTCTTGGAATCTCAGCCTACAGTCGTGTTCAAAGGTTTGGGCTCCACCGGTCAAATTACATGTTTAGCTGATTTTATGAGTGAAAAGTTCACACATCCTGTACAGAGAACACAGTTCTGCACATTGCAATGCACAGTTACTGTTTGATTGCTGAATTCATCATATTTAACATAAAAGGTGGCCTGTGCAAAAGTTTTGTTTTATATTTAAGTTTGTTCTCTGTAGAGGTTTTTCAACAATCAACAAAACATGTAATTTGACCAGGGGTGCTGAGTTCAATCAACAAAACATGTAATTTGACCAGGGGTGCTGAGTTCAATCAACAAAACATGTAATTTGACCAGGGGTGTTGAGTTTTTAAACTGTATATTCCCAGGACCATATACTGTATACCTAGGGTTTTACATTCCCAGGACCCTATATTCCCAAAGTCCTATATTCCTAGGATCCTATATTTCCAAAGTCCTACATTCCCAGGACCATATATTCCCAGGGTTTTATATTCCTAGGACCCTATATTCCCAAAGTCCTATATTCCTAGAATCCTGTATTCTCAGGACCCTATATTCCCAAAGTCATTTATTCCCAGGGTCCTATTTTCCCAAAGTTCTATATTCCCAGGATTCTTTTTTTCCAAAGGACATAGGACCCTGGGAATATAGGACTATTTCCAAAGTCCTATTCCTAGGACCCTATATTTTCATTGAAATTTTCATGGGAAATAGCTTCATGTTTCCATGTTGCCTCAATCATAATTTCTCATTGTAAAAACAAGAGTAATGTGTTTCTGATATGTCTATTAGATAAAATCTGTTTTCAGTGTTTATGTATGTGCTGCTTCAATATAGATCCTCTTATTAAAACACATTCTAAACCGAACATTTCAGTGAAAACAAATGTGGTTTAAATGCTTTGCAGCATTTAAACATTTCAGTCATAATTTTATTTGAACACAATATTAATAACATTGCAAAACATTACCAAAGCTGGCACACAGTGCAAGCAATGAAATCTTTGAGCAAATCCTCAACGACAGAATCTACCTTCCTTTTTCAGTACTGTTTATAACATGCTCTTGTCAGCTTGCCATCACCATATCCCCCTTTGGGGAATCCCACATATACTCCCTTATACCATCTCCAGTTTGATACTTCATTCTGCTAACTTGCATCTTGGCCTGATATTGAAGCAGAGAGCTGAACACAGGGCTCTGGGAACATAGCTATGTCCGCTTCAATTTACTATTAGCTTTACTCTCATGCAATGTCACATCAATGTGCAGAAGTGTCAGTGTAGGCCTGCTTTCAGATTTTATGTGGCATTATCTGAATTTCAACTCCTAAATTCAGAGGATCAGGTGACATTTGGAGGGAATATGTATTTGTACTGGGTTTCAGTGGGTTTCAAACATTTTAGTTTACTAGCTTGCAAAATGTCAAAGTGAATGATGCATAAATAAATTATGACTAAATAAAGTTGAATGTATTACTCCCAATAAAGTAAACTGGAAAAAAACAAATTTATAGTAGTGAGAACTGAAACCTTTCATGCTAAAATACCTACTTAGTAGTAAAATATGAATTAGTCTTAATAACATTTTCCTTGTTCAAATGAAGTTGATTAGATCAAGAAACTACACATTTAAAGGGGAATCCCACCAATTCTTAAAAATATCTGAATAATTCAGTGGCTGAGTCACAAATAAAGTCATTCAGAGTGGTTTGGTGAAATTCGTTTGAAGAGAAACTGAAAATCTTCTTTGGGGATTATTTTACCTTAGAACATCCTTTATGTGTCTCTCGACCATGAAGAGATTAAAGGGGAATTCCACCAATTTTTAAAAATTTCTGAATAATTCAGTCCTTGAGATGCAAACAGTCATTCAGAGTGGTTTCATGTGAAATGGTTCATTGTAGAGACTCAGGTTTCTTTACAGTGGTGGTGACGGGAACCAGGGGTTGCCATGTCTACATCACAAATATGGCCATTTTATTTACTATACAAAACCACCAGTGAGTTTTTATATGTAATGTTGATGATGGTAAAACGGTCAAAATCTGAATCTGAAATAATCTGAAATAAGTTTTCTTTGGGGACTATTTTGCCTTAGCACACCCTTTATGTATCCCTCCACCATGAATAGATTAAAATAAATTAATTAAAGTACACTTTAGGCCAACATTTTATCACAAAACTATCATAAAACAGTGTCTCAGACATCAGGCTGAGTATTCATAACCATTTCATATCATACCTTTCTGTGATGTAGCTTTTAGAGGCATTAAACTCTTCAGACATCTGGTTCCTATCACCACCACCGTGAACAATTCTGACTCGGCAAGTTTCTCTACAATGGAGCATTTCACATCAAACCACTCTGAATGACTTTGTTTATATCTTAACCATTTAATAATGTCATTTTTGAAAAATCAGGGGAGTTCCCCTTTAAAATAAATTGATTAAAATATGTTTTAGACCAATAATTTTACCACAAAACTATCATAAAACAGTGTCTTAAACATCAGGCTGAATATTCACAACCAATTCATGTAATAACTTTCTGTGAGGGAGCTTTTAGAGGTGGACGTCTGGTTTCTATCACCACCACTGTGAACAATTCTGACTCTGGATTGGAGCATTTCACACCAAACCACTCTGAACGAATCTTAACCATTTTAACTATCCAGAAATTTTGAAAAATCGGTGGACTTCCCCTTTAAAGCCTACTCTTGGTACACAGCAAAAAGTATACAGAGAGCAAAAAGGTGCTCATTTTTGAAGACGTATTCAGTGAAAGTGTCCGCTGCTGGACACCAGACCCCCCTGCTTGAGCATGTGACGTCAGAGTCTCGGAGCTGCCCGATGGCCACGTAGGAAATGAGTTTATATCGCTCGTATGAGAGACTTTTGGCTGCGTCTTTAATGCTGTCGGACAGCTCTCTGGCTATTGCAGAGCAGCTGCCGGTGTACTCCAGACTGCCGAGCCTCGCGTCCACTGTGCTCTTCATAACCGAGCGCACGAGCTCGTTGGGGAAGCGCCGGTGTGGAGCTGTTTGATACGGACGCCATGCGCTCTCTGCGGGGTGGATGGTGAGGGACCGTGTCCAGGGGACGGAGACTTCTGTCTTTACTGCCCCTGCGTTCTTCTTTGTCCTGTTCCTTTGTTGCTTGGAGTCATTTTCAGCCTTTATGGTCACTCTGGACTTCTGACCCTCAACTCCTTTCTGACTCTCGCGGCCAAATCTCCTTCTGTTTGAGCAGGTGATGGAGGGTTGGGGCTGTGCACCCCCAAAACATCAGAAATAAGAAATATTACAAACGACATGCACTTAATTTCATATGCGATTAATTATTTTGATGAAATTACGAGGTTGAAATTGGCTTCTTATTCGAACTCCCCGTTCCACCTTAAATGGTACAGCAGCTACGTTAAATGGTGCAGCAGCAGATGCGGCTGATGCACCACTTAAGGTGGAACGAAAAATTCGAATAAAAAGCTGGCTAATAAGAAGCGAATTGCTTCTTTTTTAACTGCTCCATTAAAAGAGGGGGTTCTTTAAGGGTTCTGTAGTGAAGGGAATGGTTCTCTTTAGAACCATAAGTTCTATATAGAACCATTTGCATGCTTAAATGGTTCTTCACATTGATGGAGAATGTGTTGTACATGGTTCCTCCAAAAAAGGGTTCTTCTGTTGTTGTAATGTCAAGCTTGCGACAATAGCAGAACCCTTTTGGTGCTATACAGAACCATTTTTTTCAAAAAGGTTCCATATAGAACCATATACAACACATTCTCCCTCAATCCAAGAACCATTTCACCATTCAAAGCACCAAGCATGAAATGGTTTTATACAGAACTCACAGTTCTAAATAGAACCATTCTCTTTACTAAAGAACCCTGGAGGAACTTTTTTCAAGGGTGTATTTTTTTGTCCTCTCTTTGGGTTTAATTCCATTTTGTTCTGTTAAATCAGCCTTAGCATTTTGCTTTAGACCAAAAGGACACAGGAAACTAGAGACTAACACCAGTTCCTATGCTGATAGATGCTGGTTGTGCTAAAAAGTTTAATAAAGATTTTTTTTTTCTGCTGCCTTTCTGTTCTAGTTTTAAACTGAATAACTAAGAATACCCTTAGACAACACTGTAATGGAAGAAAAGTCATATTTAATTTGTAATAATTGTTGTAATAGTATAAAAAACAACATACCAGCATGTCTTCCTTTCACATTTAGCAGAACACCTGTCTGAAATAATCCCCCTGACTCGATAGCCTGTGCTGAGAAGGTGTAGTAGCTCTGCTAGAGCAGATGTGGTCTGCAGAATGACCAAGAGCCCAGGTTTTGGTCACACTGGCTCCACCTCCTATACTGGGTGATCACTTTTAAAGGCGAACTCCACCATTTTTTCTTTCAAATTTCCACATAACTCCGTCTTTGAGATGTAAACAAAGCCATTCTAAATTGTGTGATGCAAAATTGGTCATCGTACAAAGGACCCTACCAACTCAGATTTCTTTACCATGGTGTAACCAGGAGTCACAATGTCTACAACACAAATATAGCCATTTTATTTACTATCTAAACTGACCAGTGAAAAGACACATCTGAGTTTTTATATGCAATGTTTATAATGGTAAAATAGCATTAAATCTTTAAAAATGTGTTTTCTTTGGGTACTATTTTGTGTCACACTGCCCTACATGTGCCTGCATGAAAGGATTTTTATAACTAAACCTTTTCAAACCATCATAAAACATCATCTCAGGAATCAGACAACATATTCACAACCATTACATGACATAATAACTTTCTGTGAGGGAGCTTTAAGAGGTATTAACACCTCAGACGTCTGGTTCCTATCACCACCACTGTGAACAAATCTGTATGTTTCTCTAGTGTGGCGCACATCACATCATACCTCTCTGAATGACTGTGTCTACATCTGAAGGATTTAATTCTGCAGAAACTTGACTATATGTAGTAAGAAACGCTTACGATAACAAATATTAACGGTTCAAATGAAATGCAGATTCACATAAATCAGTTGCCATTTGATAATGGCGTAATTTATTACCTTTCCCCGCTCAAAATCCAAACAAAATTGAAATCCCTAAAGGATAAACTGTGCTCTCATACATAAGCCTGTATTCTTCAATGATAAAACATACAGTGTAATACACCCACATAACCAACCCATTCTAAAACTACATATAGCACCCAGAATTTGAGATTTCGTCTTTAAAAACATTAACGCACAATTAGAAAAGCTGTAAAATGTTACAGAAACACAGTTGGTACCTGGACAACCGATACATGAGGTTTTGTTCACTGCCAAACATCCCATAATGTACACACTCTAAAGCCTTTTGTGCAATAATGCTGTTTCAGGGAAAGTCACGCTATTTTTGCTCTTACAAGTTCAAGAAAGTGTTGAAAAATGGTCAGGAGATGGACGTCAGCCCCGCCGCTGCTGCACTGAGCCCATTAACACCACATTCACAATCAAAACTGGTGATCCTATTTATAACTATCCCACCTCATTAAGGCTGAAAGAGGAAGGGGCTGGGTCTTAACCTGTAACACCACATACATCCTGTTCACATAGACAGAAAAAACACAACATAACGGAAAATAATGGTAGTCTTGCGCTGGTTGCCTCTCACCACATGTGCGTAGATCGGGGCATGTGCAACCATGTGCGGCTGAGGATGTTTAAAAAGAAACCACTGACCCATACGAGACTACTGACATGGTATTAGCTTCACAGCTGGGAGTGAGTTAGTGTCCTTGGCATGTGCAACCATCCATGTGATGAGAGACCATAAACATAGATGGCCAGTAACAAGAGAAGCTCAGTAACAATCAGTGAGACAACCACAAGAACGCGAGTCAGTCTCCAGTCCAGCGATTCACACGGCTGGATGTACTTTCCAATATGCCACCTCCTTATTTTAGATCCAGGACCATGGAGGCAGGATTCTCCAGATAGCACTTCCACAAGTTGGAGAACCGACACATGGTGGCTCCGTCGATGATTCTGTGATCCGCAGACCAGCTCACGTTCATGATATGTGCTTTCACAACTTCGTCCTTTGCGTTGAACCGAGGTAATACCTGGCAGGAACCAAGCAAAGCACACAGCTTTAAAATGGTAATGATCGACTGCAACGGTTTAATCTCAGTATGATAAGTGTCACAAACCTGAAGCTTTCCGAGAGCACCAATTGCAACCTCAGGCAGCAGAACCACAGGCTTTGCATAGGTGCCTCCAATCTGGAATAAAAGGATTAGAACATTAAAAGGTGCAGACTAGGTTAGTTGTGTTACAAAACACATTTTTCAGACATAAATTAATCTTGAGCTAAATATATTTAAACTATCAACAGGAATTCTATATATTTTTATTAGTATTTTTTTCATTTTGTGAAGTTTACATTGATAATCGGGTGGTGTAAATCTAAATCGCAACAAATCGATTTAAACCTAATTTTGTTTTGGCAGCTGACTGATGACATAGTATAATGCTGCATTTATCTGTGATCTAATAATGGCTATTATTTGTACTACATGGTAGCTCTTTGTTTGGCACTTTGAGTGATGATGGGCTGATGTGGGTCAGTTTCAGGCAGAATTTTGTCGTATTTGGGTCAGTTTCAGACTGAACAACAACATTCGACTCACTGAGCCAATGTTGGAGAGCGTGAACGTTCCGCCGGTGAGATCTGCCGTGCCGAGCTGCCCAGATGCTCCTAAAGTCTGCAGCCGATTGAGCTCCACAGCTATCTCGAAAACACTGAGCATCTGTACATTCTTCACATTGGGCACCAGCAGACCCTGCGGAGTGTCCATGGCCAGGCCGATATTATGAGCAGCCTGAGTAAAGAATGAAAAACAGCCAAAAAAAAACAACAAAGATTAACATGAAATCTCTGTTTCATTTAACACATCAGTGAGCTGGGTATTCAAATGTGAGCTGACCTTGTAGGTAATGTTCTGGCACTCTTCGTCCACAGAGGCGTTCAGGATTGGAAATTGGAGGAGGCCAAGAGAAGCTGCCTTTTTGTAAAACAGAACTGTCAGTCATTTGAACACTACTTACTGCACTTTATTCACCCAGGTTAGAACTCCTAAGAAAAATGCTGTTACCTTGATGAAGAATGGCATGTAGCTGAGCCTCACTCCTCGTGACTCAGCCACTCCTTTAAGCTCTGAGCGAAGACGCACCAGCTGCGTTAGGTCCACTTCATCCTTGTAGCCAAAGTGTGGTATCTTCAGAGCTGCCGTCATGGTCTTCACCATGGCCTTCTGAAAACCTGTTTAAAAATGTTAGAGAAGTGAAGCCACAGTAAATCATCCAAATAAATAAAAAAAAATCTTAAAAATGCAGTAGCTTGAGGATACATTTTCCAAATAGACAACAATACACTTCCATAAGTTGCCCTAGATAAAGGCATCTGCTAAAACCTAAATTAGTACATCAGCCAATTCAAACACAGTACATTATTTTAGAAGTGATGCACCCAAATTTAAATCGTTGGCTGAAAATGAAATTTTGGACATAGAAACAAAAACTGGCAAAAAAGTGGGTTATGTTTCCTTTTTATTAATACTTTTAAGTGAAACATGAAAACTATTTATAAGTGTAAGTAAAGAATGTTAATTAATATAAAGGTAGTCCTTTCAAAAGGACAAACTGGGTTCAATAAATAAAAACAGTTAACATAAAATAATAATGTAACTATTACAGTATGTAGGCTACAGTATGATCCTACAAAATCAAATGTGTCCTCGACAACAGAAAACATCATCCAAGGCAAAGAATTTCATCCTTTTTAGTTATACATTTGCACTGTCATGTGTGATTTTTTATCATTTCAAAAGCTCAGGCTACAGATGCTGTTAGTGTGCTAGCAGGGACTTTCCTTTCTGCTTCTATTGTTTTGCTGTATTCTGCACATCAAGCAGAACATCGTGTTTTCAAGTGGAATCAACATTGAATGTTGTACCTGCTCTTGATACTCTACATAAACAGTGATTACAAACTGCTTCTCTAATATTCCTCATAGAAAGGACAGCAAAGGAAAAAGCTGTGTTTTCAATCACTGTGTCCAATCATCACTAACATTATCAGTAAAGTGTTAGATAATTGTTAGATTTTTAGGCCTATTTCTGTAAAATACCTAAACCCAAAACCAAAAGTGCCCTTTCTGACCATTCTTGGCTGAAATTTCAGTGCATCCTTATATTTTAGTTCTCCAATACTATTCTGGCCATCTCACCTTTAAGAGGCTCTGTGCGGTCCTTGCCCGTGAATACAGGTCTCGGGCTGATCGGTGTAGGAATGCTTGGAGGAGGTCTCTTCTCTTGGGGCTTGGCTGCTGCTGCTGGTGCAGGAGGAGGAGGCTGGATCTCCTGGAAGGGGCTCGGAGGCAGGATGGCTCCTGTCTGCTTAGCTATGAAGTTTAGGATGTCTTCTTTGAGAATGCGCCCATCCTTTCCAGTCCCGACAACTTCGCTCAGTTTGATCTAATGAGACAGGAGTCACACAGGGGGATTAGTGCTTACTCACTCACTATACATAAACCAGAAACTTCTGATTTCATAAAAATGAAATGTGGTTAAAACACAATGACTTTCCTGCAAGTCACCAAGGCTACAAACAATATCCATGAAAAAAAATCTCTCTCATAGTAAAATCAGAAGCCTTATTTCAGTCTCTCCTTGATTCTTAGTTCATTCGGTTCTCTGCCCTACCCTGCCCCCTCCCCCCCCACCAGTGACTATGGAAACAACCCCACTCTGGAGAACTATGTGAGGGTGTCAGGATTTAACAGACATTTTTATTTTCGTTCTTCCCAGGAAGGGACAGAGGCCTTCCCCTGCACACACAAAGCAAACTTTGGCTAACAGTCATCAATCATGACCTTCTTTTATTGTCCCTGTTGAGCCCAGCAAGTTCTGGGCTTGTAGTAAAGTCATTAGCTTCTAATCACAACACCAGCTCAAAAGCATCCCCTGCTGAGAATCTCTACACTCTTATATCATCTTTGACAGACAGTCTGGCTGGGATCAAAGAATAAGACCCTCAGTTACAACTTCTGCCAGAAAACGTAAACAGTGTCGATATTTTACTGCCACATATTGATAGTGTGTTTGAACTCAAGCACCAGAATGAGTTTTTGTCTATTATTTCTGTCTGTGTGGGGAAAAAAAATCAACACAACTGTCCTGTAATATTGAAAAGTGAAAAGACAGTGTTGGTACATGGGGGCTTGATTACTGATCTATTATTTCATATTTGTAATGTGTATTAAGATGGTTGATATGATAGTTTATTAGAATTTTAAAAAGTGCCTGCATTATGCAAATTATCGTTCTTTCATTCGTGATTTATTTCATTGCTTCCTTTTTTTTTTTAACTATAACCCTAAAAGGTAGAGAATGTTACTTACAGGCCTAACATGAGCTTAAAATGTCTTTATTTAAACTAGAGCTGACATTAAAATTCAATATAGTGCCAAACTATCCTTGCTAGCAAACCAAGTTGAACATATGAGGAGCATTATCATAGCACTGATGTAAAAACCAGATTTCTACATTAGACGTTGCTATGTAATGGCATTGCTGTATGGTTTTTCCCACCTGACTCTCGGTGTAAACACAATTAACAAGTTATAAGTTAAGCATTTAACACATTACCAGAAATTCTGTCCATAAGTCACTCAAAGCATCATGGGGCACAGGAATAAGCAAGATAATTAAAGGCTATTATATACTCAACACATACATGCTTCGAATGGCATTTAGAAAGATTAAAATATAAATTTCAGTCTGCGGAATATGGAAATGAAACAAAGAAACTCCAATACATGAAATCTGCTCTCTGGTAGACAGTAAAATGGACAATCTTGTCCAGAAGAAGGATGCAAACACAGAGAACCACTAGATGCTATCAATATTGATGCTAAATGGTGTCTGTGCAGAATACTAGAGGTGGGCACTATGGCAAAAATATAATATTGCAACACTTGAAGAAATTTTCATGATACACAATATGTCACAATATTTATTTTTTCAGACACCTGATCAGTTGGAACAGAGAAAAAAAGAACGAGTAATGCTGTATTTTAATTTAATTTACATTTTATTTGCATACTGTGTTGCACTAGATCCAGTTAAACGGGACTAATTTTGCTCTCTTTATAACGAAACACATTGTTGGTCAGCGTTCTACAAGTGCTGATGATAACACAATATGTATTGTTTCGTGACATAATTTATCACAATAATGATACATATCATATTGCCTACCCTCACAGAACACAGCTATCATTATAAATTATTAAGTGTTATAAGAGGCTACTCCTGTTGGTAATTATATGGTTTATCCTGCGTGACTGAATTTGGATAACAATGATATTGTTTATTGCAATAATTACACATATAATCATCGTTTGTCAAATTTACACTACTGTCCAAGCACAGCAGTACATGCATTAATAGAGTAATACGATACCAAAATACTTTGATTTCTTAGTCCATAACATGGTGCTGAGAAGTATTTTTCTCTTCTAGTGATACCAAGAAGGTTTTCTTTTGGAAGCATGACTTGAAGACAAAAGTAATCACAACATATCACAATATCAAAATACTTAGCATATCATAAAACCTTAATAAAATAACAATAAACTCATTCTGTGGCTCACGTATTGTGATAAAGTCGTATCATGAGGCCTACAGTGATTACCAGCGCTACAATGTAATGACTTTAATAGCCACTCACGTTGTTCTCCATGGCTAGGCGACGCACTGCTGGGGTGGCCTGTGTCTTGTGGCCTCTTATATGCTGGTGGGTGTGTTCCTCCTGAGATACAGCTGGTGTTTCCACCACATCCTCCTCTGGAGCTACCACAGAATAGTACTGAATAAATGGCATGTAGTGTTTACAGGAGCGGGATGAATCTCAACACTCAGTTTTCCCCTTAGTACCATCTTTAATCATCATTTTCATAAATGAGCACATTTTTCATATATGTACTTACTCTGGCCCCCGTCAGTCTCGATATCAACCAGCGGTGTGCCCACAAAAGCAACAGAATCAATATCATAGTAGAGTTTGCGGATGACTCCGTCATAGCGGCTGGTGATTGTAACAGAAGCTTTGTCACTCTGTACTTCACAGATGCTGTCAAACTGGGATACTCGGTCACCTACTTTCACATACCTTGCGAAAAGAAGCGATATTAAATTGTTTAAGAAATTGAAAATCAAATCTGACTCAACTCTCAGAACATAACATTCTGTTCAAGGCACTAATGAGCAGCAATGCTGCCCCCTGGTGAAGAATTCAGAATCTGAATCCTTTTCGTTCACTTGTCACCAAGCAGGGTTACTTGGAAACTCTCTTTGAGCATAAATGTTCATGAAGATACAGTTGAAGATGTCAGCAGTGCATTAGCATTCACAAGTTTGGAATCACTTGTCAAATGAATATTTTTTTACTATATACAAGAGTTATTCACCAAAAGATATGGTTTAATATTTCAAGAATTATGTGAACAAAAAGTGAATACAACAATAAATAACATATTGTAATCCATTTAAGTCAATTTTAAAGTTACCTGACTTTTGAAATATGATGAATTCTGGATTTTATTAAGTTTCTTGATGCTAAACTCTGTCATTTTAGAATCCTCTACTGCTCTGTTCAACATTCTGGGCACATCAAATATTTCTTCATTTGTATTTAAAGCTTCATAGTGTCCTGCTAATTATTTAAAACCTGTTAAGTTGCACAGGACGAGCACATTAGACTGCACATGAAAAGGAACTTACCATTCCTTAACTGTCACCTCCATGATCCCCTCTCCAATGTCTGACAGTTTGAACTGCAAAATGGGTCCTGATGCAGCTGTATTGGGAATTAGCAAAGTTGCAAAAATAACTAATGCACAGTGATGCAGAGGTTATGTAATAAAAGTTGCAGTGCTTCATAAATAGAAAGCTGACACTTACCATAACTAGTTCTGAAAAATCGATGCTGCTGTAAAACAGTGGCGGAATAGGAGTGAGGTGCAATTACTAAAGGTGCTTTCTGAACCTTGGAGGAGCAGTACTTGTGCAGACATTGTACAGAGACCTGCAAGCAGTGCACAAGAAACAAAAACACAGACAGATACAGTTCAACTCATAGAAGACAGAGTATTAATCTACCTAGCAATGACAAGTAATGCTTGTATACTGAGTTGCCAGAATATATTAGGTTTATTTATTGGCCTTTTTCTTAGGTACACCTACCATATAGTGCAGTTTATAGGTATATAATTATAACTGCTTCTGCACAATTTATCAGCCACCTTCTACCACATCCATCAATAGAAAGGGTGATTGCAATGAAACTTTTTTAAATAAATGTGATATTTCTCCTTAATAGTAATCCATGGAGACTTAGTCCAAGTTTCAACATTTTATAAATGTTTATGTATCAGCATCGATAAATATGCACATTAAAAACAGCTAATACTAAAACAAACAGTTCTGCAACAAAAAACACAGCTATGTTATGGACATTACGTCACTGACATAATGCTCATTATCTATCAAACGTATCACTAAAACTGAAAGGTAGTATACGTAGCATGTAAATACACCGGAATAAAGCATATATCGCCCAACACTCCCTTCAACCAGATATTATATAAAAAAAAAATATATATATATATATATATAAAAATTATATATGTGTATGTATATATATATATATACACACACACACACACACACACACATATATACATATCATCGCAAAAGCATAAAGCATCTCAAAATAGTGAGTTTCTTAAAACAACGAAATTTCTCAAAATAATCAGAAAATATCTCAAATTAATGTGACAGTATCACAATATTACAAAATCATGATTTAACATCTCAAAATAATGAAACAGCAATTCATTTACATTAATAATGTAAAAGTAATAATTAGGTCCTGGATTTTTTTTTTAGTTTTGGAAAAGGGCTTCCATTGATATACTGGTAGTGGCACGTTAGTTAATGTGTGTTACGCTGGTATGAGTTTATCAGCTCACATGAAAGCTGACGGGTGACTGAATCTGCTGTTCAGTCTCTATCAAACTTGTGATAAAGTGTTGATAGTAGGTGCCAACAGCTACCTTCGGTGGAATTTGTCTTTCTCTCATTTGGTTTCTCCAACTCCTAACACTTTTTGTTAACAGGAAAACAGCACGAGAATAACCCACATGCATATAATCTCATAATGTGTTGTTTTACACTGTTTTGTTGTTAATTTTAAGCCTCCACCATTGCAGCTCTCTCTGTCTGCACAGCTAACAGACCGCTAGCTCGCCACGCAATTCACTTGTTCTATTCGTCAGTTTGTTCTTCTGTTAAAATGTAACTTATAAAAACATTGTCCTGTTCTGTGAGCTTTTTTCACCTGCAAAATGTGTTACAAAAGCCATGCAAAACCCACCAGGCGTCTAATAAACGGGAGCGAGCCTCTTACGGTCATGAGCGCCGCCATGTTTCTCTTCTCCTTAAGAATTTTAATACGTGCGTGTGACGAAATGATCACGCCCCGATTTACCCACCAATCAGACTGCGAGTTTGATCCGCTGATCTGGAATCTGCTCTCAGTGTCCACTTTAAACACGACAGCATTGTAAGAGAAAGCGCAACACTGACTTGAGATCAGTGTCCAAAAAATACAAAAGACTTGAAGCAACGACCGCAGAAGCAGCTGTTGAGTGTTATTGACTTTTCATTGCGGCTGTTTCTTTGTATGAGACGGTGCTGCTTTGTCGATTTCTAGCCATTTTATTCAATATATCACAGCCATTTAACTCACTTTCTACTAACAGACACAAGTAACTTAAGTTACTTTTAAGGAACTGAATAAAAATGGAATAAAAAAGAACTGAATGAATACACTGCCTGATGTCTGAGACGTTGATTTACGGCAGTTCTGTGATAAAGTTTTGGTTTAAAACGTGTTTTAATCGGTTTATTTTAATCCATTCATGGTAGAGGGATAGTTGAAGGGTGTTCTAAAGTCCAAAGAAACCCCATTTTCCAGATTGACCATTATTTTGCCTTCATCAGCATTACAAAAGACTCGTGGTGGTTCACTGATGGTAAATAAAATGGCTATATTTGTGTTGTAAACATTGGGACCCCCGGTTCCCACCACTGTGAGGAAATCTGAGTCAGCAAGTTTTTCTACAAATGAATCATTTCCCGTCACATCATTCTGGATGACTTTGTTTACATCTCAACCACTGAATTATGGATAAATTTTGAAGAAAAAAAAACAATCGTTGGAATTCCCCTTTAACACACAATATTGAAAATCGTATTCTAACCTCGTGATCGAACATTGTATCGAACCTAAAAATATATCTATCTTTACATTTACAACAAAGTGTGACTGTGCTTATTTCTGAACTTCTGTCTAACCATGCGCAAATAGCGTCACGGAGTTACAACTGCGCATGCGCTTTTGTGTTCTAACAGTGTGACTGGCCAGACTAGTTGCAAAGCAGTTGGAGGAGAGTCGCGTTGCGTCCGGATCGGAAATTGAATTATTTTTTTCCCTTTGCTTCGACCCAGATATTTTATACCCGTTTAGAAGAGCCAGTTTAGACCCTTGCAACTATTCTCCGGACTGTTCCCGGCTCTGTGTGGAGTGAGTTGTCCGCCGGTTCGGCTTTCTGCCCTGCATTGTTTGGGAGCTGCTCGCCGGTGCAGCGTTAGGTTAGCTAGTCTGCTAACTTCCAGGGTGCGAGTGAAACTGGGGGCATTTTTCCCCCAAAAAAGCACCGCAGCTCTTATTGACCTCCTCCTCCGCCGTCAGGAGTGCCCACTCTTACTTAACCCGTCGATATTTTGTCGTAAATTTTATCTGGATTCCAGAAAAACCACAAAAATGGCCGCAACAGCGTACGAAATGGACGGAAGTGTGATGGAAGGGGTGAGTTTTCAGTGCTACTTTTGGGGCTAAAGTTGGCTCCCTGTTCGCCAGCTTTTGATTCGAAATTCCCCGTACCACCTTAAGTGTACATGCTTACATGTAACTGCTGCACCATTTAAGGTGGAACGGGAAAATTCGAGAAAGAAGCCGACTTCATCTTCGTTCGCTAACATACTTTGCCCTTTTATTCGACGAACAGCCTGTATTAAGGCAACTTTAGCCTCATTTAACCTCTTATTTTCTTTACATGTCGTTTCTAGCTGGTGAAACATCGCTTAAAGTCTCTAAAAGTCACCCCGAGTGCTGAATGAAAGACACCCTCTCTTTCTCTTTCAGGGGGGGCAGATCCTGAGGGTGTCCGCTGCGCTCAGCTGCATCCAAGGCGCTTCTATCAAAATCAGCAAAATCCGAGCAGGCAGAAGCACACCAGGGCTGAGGTAATGTGAAATACTCCAGATAAAGCCTACTTTTGCTATTTTTGGCGTTAGACTTCACTGCATCAACCGAGTCATCCTCTTCAAGCCACACTCACCCCTCCCCAACTCAACAGTGAATCACGAAACAAAAGCCAAGTTGGTTGTGCTGACTCTGACCTCCAAACACGACTTCAAGTTCGCTTTCAGACTCTCATATATAGTCGATGAGTCGTTAAAGCGTCATGTTTTGCTCCTACGTTGACAAAGTGCACTTTAAAACAGTAAATTTGCTCTAATGCAGTCGGATTGTGGAAGCTGAATAGGGGCCTTTGTTAGTCCCAGCACATGGCGAGCACTACTCCAGATTACCCCAACTCTGCTAACTCACTCACTGCTCAAACTTTTTTTTTTCATGGCATTTTTAAATGTATTTGAAGTGTTTTTGCCATGTTATGTCTTGGTGAGTGTTGTTGCTGTGAGTATTAATGTCAGAAAATAAGAGTGTGTGTCTGTGTTGAAGTTAGAATGGTCTTATATTGTGGTTTTCATGCTGTAAACACGTTGGCATCAACAGGAAAGTCTACAGTTGGGAGCCCCATGTACTCACGCTTGTCTTTTCTTTCCTCCATTGTTATCCCCCCTCCCTCAACCTCGGTAGGCCTCAGCATCTGTCAGGGTTGCAGTTGATCAGGGACATGTGTGATGGCAATCTGGAGGGAGCTACGGTGGGCTCTTCAGAGATCACGTTGACTCCTGGGAAAATAAAATGCGGGAATTACATTGCGGACACCCAGACCGCAGGGTAAGTGAAGAGCATGTGGTGCCAGAACTTGTGCTTTTTGCTGACCTTTGCAGAAAATTAAGGTGTAGCTTTAGGGGTCAGATTCTCAGACATGGATTAAACTCAGTCTTAGACTGAATTGCAAACCCAGTGATATTTGGTTTTTCATTAAAAATCCTTTTTAGCCTGTCTTAGGAGATACAGGGCCAGTTTCCATAGACCCAGATTAGGCCTATGATGTATAGATTCCTTAGGTTATATTAAAAATGGAAGACTGTTGGATTGTATCTATCTATTGTGAGATATTGTGGACGATAGGTTACATGTTTGATAATAATGATGTAGGTGGCATAATGTACCGTCTTCTACATGCAGTTCACAGGTCAATAAGACTTGGTACAGTCTGTTCCCATTCTGACGATCAGTCCTGATGAGTAACAATAGGTAGAATATAAAGAATAATTTTAGCTTATGAGCTAACCGTAGTTAATGTTCTCTGTTTTGTAGGAGTGTTGGGCTTCTGCTTCAGGTCTCGCTTCCCTGTGCTTTGTTTGCTGAGGGCTCATCAGAGCTCTGCTTGAAAGGAGGCACCAATGCAGAGATGGCACCACAGATTGATTACACAATCAAGGTATGAGTCTTTTAGGAATTAAAACTAATTCAAATAAAGTTATTTATTTGAATTATTTACCCTGGTGAGATACTTTATATTATTCCGGATGTCAGAAAAGATCTTTGACTTGTACATCAGGATTAGTGAAATACTCTACAAGATGTACTTAAATGAATGTTTTCAAATCTTCCATAGGTTTTCAAACCCATCGCAGAGAAATTTGGTGTGCATTTTGACTGTGATGTGAGAATGAGGTAAGCCTTTGTCTTCAGTAAAATTGCATTCATTATTAACTGTCATTTGTAGGACTATTTGTAACTGAATTTTTTGTTTTTTTCGGTGCTATTCACAGAGGTTATTACCCAAAGGGTGGTGGAGAAGTGGTTGCAAAGGTAAACCCAGTGAAAGAGCTGAGTCCCATCAACATGACTGAGAGAGGCAACATCACTAAAATCTATGGCCGGGCCTTCGTGGCTGGCGTGCTGCCTTTCAAGGTACTTTTCCCAGAAGCTAGACTGCCTTTAGTGTTTGTTCTTCAAGGCATTTGAACAAGTCTGTCGATTACGTTGTACCATAACATCAGTATATAACATTTACTGGCCAAAAAAATCTTGAATTATTTTTTTTCCCTTTTTTTTCTTTTTGTCACCAGACTGTTTAAAACTGTATTTATGCCTTGTTGTTGTTTTGACTGAAACAATAAATCCTGATTGAGTGGCTTTTGTTTTTAGCTGGCGAAGGACATGTCCACTGCAGCAGTGCGCACTATCCGAAAGGAGATTAAGGACCTTTACATCAATATTCAGTCTCTGCAAGAGAAGGACAAGGCCTGTGGCAATGGCAACGGCATTATGTGAGTTAAAACAAAAAACAAACTAAACGGATTTACCTCCAATTTTCTGTTTAAAATTCTGAAAATTAAATTAATTTTATGGCTGCATGATTTCTGTTTCTTGTTCTACACAGAATCATCGCAGAGTCCTCTACTGGCTGTATATTTGCTGGCTCATCTCTTGGCAAGAAGGGTGAGCGCATCCTTTTTATTTTAGGGTGGAATGACTTTGACATTGTATGTTGGTTAATAATGTCAACAGCCTGACTTAATATTACGAGCACACACTGTTTACCTCATTTCTGCAGTTTGCTGTTTTGCCACTAGTTGGCAGCACTTTAGAGTGAAATGTTTTTTGTCCGCTGACCTTTATAAGAGATGATTTATGAACAGATAAGGTGGTGTTATTCAATATAAACAGAGTGATAATCTTGACAACGGTGGTGCTGTTTAATATATTTGTGCACTGTGTACATAAATGTAAGTGTAGCATGCTTATTATTTCCCCTGGTTGACTTTTAAATTAAGTAGTATTTTTTTAATTGTTACAGTGATCATAGCGGTAAAGTTTTGGCTTTGTCTTTTCTAAAAGTTAATAAAAACTAAAAGCACAGATGTTGAATTTTTTTTAATTTGTTGAATTAAAGATTTATTTGATCTGTTGTTCTCCAGGCGTATATGCAGATAAAGTGGGTATTGAGGCTGCTGAGATGCTCCTGAGGAACATCCGTCACAACGGCTGTGTGGACGAGTTCTTGCAAGACCAGGTCAGGACCAGACAACCAGTTCGAATCAAGCATTGTTTATGTGCAGTTTGAGAGGTTCCACATATTTGTTACTGCTTCAACTTGCACTCAAGAGCTTTGTTGTTTTTCTCATGAGGTTAAATGTTTTGTTCTCTTTTATAGCTGATTATTTTCATGGCCTTGGCTAAGGGCACATCTCGAATGCGCACCGGCCCAATCACTCTACACACACAGACTGCCATCCATGTTGCTGAGCAGCTCACTAAGGTAACATCTCTAATGATTACATAAAATACTCTGGGGATAAGATATGTTGCGTTGTAAAATAAATAAATTAAACAATAAAAATCTATGTCCAGTCTATAAACACACTTTGTTTTAGGGATGCACTGATACAGGAACTGTGGGCAGATGCAGATATCTGATTTTTCACATATCACACCGATGCTGAGATATAAACATTTTATAAAATGCAGAAATTCTGACTGTCTGTCTGAATAAGCAGGGCAGAGAAATAAAATATCTTTGTAGGTGGTAAAAATGGTAAAATGAATGAAATGCAGATGCTTTAGCCCATCATACGCTAAATGTTCTGCTCTTCTGGAGTGTAAAAATTGTCATCAAATCTGGGATGGGCAATATAAGAATATTTTGTTATTGTGATAATTTTCATGATGTCATTTCTGAGCATATTGTGGATATCATCAATACTGACCAACTGCATGTTTCATTACAAGAGGGCATAATTAGACCTGCTGAATTGGATTTACTGCAGCATAGTATGTGTAGTGTTCAATTAAAATCATTGTGTTCATAGTTTTTGATAGCAATTTTTAAATGTGACACAATCAGATTTGGTCTGTATTAAAATATGTGTATTGACTATTGAATTGCTTTAAGTATCATGATATACTATTTTTCATGTCGCCCATCCCTAAATCAAATATTGGTTTGAAATATCTCTCAGATTTAAACATATTTGATGGCAGTTTTTTAAAGAAATGACCTATTACCGATACCGATATGATTCCAATACTATCAAGTAACCCTGGTTTGTATCACTAGTAGGTTTAATAAAACGCGAAGTCAATAAAATTGCTGTGTATTTTGTGTTCCAGACTCTTACTTATTATCTCTTTTCAGGCCAAGTTTGTTATACACAAAGCAGACGATGAGCAAGCCAATAACGACACCTACATCATCGAGTGCCAGGGTGTTGGTGCCACTAACTCTAACCTGTAAGTGCTGGGGGGAGGTCGTCCTTGGCCCATCTCCAGCCAAGGTAAGGGGAGTTCCCGACGGAGGCAACTGGAGGTTCGTGTAGCAGAAACACACTACTGTAGCTGACTGGATGGCCTGAGGACAACTTGACGTTCTCTTCACATTTCCGCACGGAATGAACGATTGATTTATTGGTCTTTGAACTGACCCTGGGTCGGTCCGCTTTCTCCACGCTTTTTTCCCTTTTTAATATCTTCTCATTTATCAAATGACTTTTGTTACTCAGGGTATTGCCTTACACTGTAACGAAGCGTTGTCTTTGGAGCTTTTGCATTTGAAATAGTTTGTTAGACTCTTTTGCGGTATTTGACCAGCCAGTTTAACCTTGATCCTCTTATTGCCTGATAGCTCTGAGAGTTTGTCCCGTTTGCTGTCACCTGTCAACACAAGCCTTAAAGAAACGTTTCACAAAATCCCTCTGTTACCACAATCAGAACAAGTTTACAGCTAGTATCCTAATCATTTGCATGGAATTAGTAATATTCATGTATGTCACTGTTAAATATAGTGCACTATGTGTACATGGAGGGGGGGAAAGTTCTCTTGTCCCTGAACAAAAGTGTGAGTCCATGTAGCTGCTTTGTTTTTTTGTAAATTATTTAAGTTGTATTGAATGAATGGCATCATGCTTTGTTATTCCATGTTTTGTTTTGTTTGTTTATTTGAGCTGTTACGAGGTGGTGGGAGTCGTGCATCCGAAACTTGTGTTTTGAAATCCCTTAAAAATAACGGTCCCACATGCAGGTTTAATTTACTACTTGTTATTTATGAGAAGGGATTGCAGGTAGTGATTATGGTAAGCCTGGGATTTTTGTATGTTTTTTTTTTTCTTTCTTTTTTGCTTTACTGTAGGTGACAATGGCCTCTTTTGTTTATTTGCTTTAAGATATTTTTGGAAGAAAACAAATCACAATAAAAGTGCTAAGAAGAAGGTGTGCTGATACTTCTGGCCTGGCATTCAACTTGGCCTTGCTTTGCTCACTAAATCCCTTTAGTAAGTGCCCTGTTTGTTAAAAATACACTGTTATCTGCAGAGTTTACCCAACAGTGGTGATGGCTCACAAGTGTCAGTTGCAAAGAGTGCAACTTTAAGGCTGTTGCCTAAAGCCTAAGCCCCTTTGTGCTCAGGGGCCAATACAATTACCCCCAGCAGATGCTCAGACAATAGGGCGTAAAAAAGAATAGGGTAGCCCCATGTGAGATGAATGAATATGCATGGAGCCCTTGGGTCTGGGAAGGGTGCATCCGCAATTGTTCGCGAGAGAGGATCCTCGGTGGGGGCTGGTGGGAGCGGCCTGTGTGCTGTATTCAGCGTCCTGTCATGTCACAGTCCCAGGCTGTCCTCTACATCTGTCCCTAAAATGGGTGAAACAGTGCCCCAAGAGCAGCGTGGGGACATGGAGAAAATAACATTGCAATTATAGCACAATTGCAGTGCAGTGTCCACTGCACGTGCACCAGATGAGCATTCATTTTTGGGCTTTTTATAGAACTAAAGGGAAATGTACTACAAAAAAAGAACCCTTTATAAATGAGTTACTTAAAACAAATGTTCCTGACTTTCCAGATTGTTCTTTATCCTTTTAGACTCTGCATGTGCTGTACATAATCTTTTGTCGGTTTGGATGAAAAACAGCTGGCCTTGTTTGTTCTGGAAGTTGGACACCTGCTCTGGATGGGCGGTTACGTAACGGAGGCCTTTATCGCTTATGATCTGCAGCCTTGCCTTTTCCTCGTGGCCCTTTAAATAACACAAACATCCACCTACTATTACATGCAGCAGTGGCGAGGGAAGATTAGGCAGGATTAGGGAGTTTAATTCTGTTCTATCATTCCTATCACTTCATTTCTTGCAAATAGTTGTCATTATAAGCAAGTACATACGTTTGTAAAGATGAATTATTCATATATTTATATATATATATACATATATATATTCATATATTTACACACACACAATATAAAAATTGAATGTTTGAATGAATGGAAGGCAAGAGTATGTATGTGATGGTAAAATCTCAGCATTAAGCCTGAGTTTAGCTTTTGAAGGAAAGTGTGGTCCCATCTGAAAATGAAAATGACTTTTATAGATATAATTTTTATATTCTTCATTAAGTAATAGTAAAATTCATGCACTCAGCATTTTGATTTTGTTTAAATGTTTCACACTATATCTACTAAGAAGCATTCAAAGACTGATGACTGTACAAGTTGAATTTAGCTGTCTAACACTGCACGTCTGGAAACTATGAATATACTCTAAAGACTTCCGCTGATTTTTCACAAGTTCTGCATGAATAAATAGTTGTGATAATAGAGAAACTTACTCTGCTTTCTTTACAGCGGTGGGACCAGGCATCGTGTTGTCTCCAACGCAAATTTGACTTTCATTTATTATCCAAAACAGCAAGTGAACCTACACACATCCTCTGAGTTTTTATATGCAATGTTGATGTAAAATAGTGATAAATTCTCTCTGAAAACTATCAAAGCAAAGCCCCACGTGTTCAGCGTGAATTCATAACTATGCATGTATTAACTCTCTGTGAGCTTTTAGACAGTAGATACTACTTTAAATGCTTCAGACGTAAAGTTCCTATTAAGATTCTGACTCTACAGTGGAGCATTTCACATCAAACCACTCTTAATGACTTTGCTTACATGTTAATGATTTTAATATGCAGAAAATGTAAAGGACTCGATTAAAGGAGTAGTTTGCCTAAAGATACACTCAACTCCCCTTTGTATATAGTTCAAAAACATAAAAAGCAAATTGGACTGTGGGTGGAAAATGAGTGATGAAAAGTGGAATTTCTGCTTAACCATCAGTGGGCCGCCCAGAAAACACTGAGCAAAAAGCCAGTGGGCCGCCAGCTTTGACATCAGAGGCCCAACAGTGGCCTGCTATCTTCTTCATATCTAGAAGCTGATACATGGATGCAAAGGTCAGACTTGTGCTGCACTCTTAACCTTGCTCGGCTTTCCTTCAGCTGACTGCATGTGTAGTCAATGTCATTAGTCTTTTAAAGACAGAACAGAAATCCTGACATTAAGATCTCCACAAGTGCACTTCTGAAATAACCTGACAGGCTGACAACCTGACCACCTCATTAGAACACACTGGTATTACATTGCTTTATTACTTCATCAAACCACTCTGAATGACTTTGTTTACATGTTAATGATTTCAATTTGCAGAAAATGTAAAAAATCGGTGGAACTTTCCCTGTTAAGATCAGTTAAAGGAGCAGTTGGCCTAAAAATATACTCAACTCTTCTTTATATAGTTCAAAAATATAAAAATATAGTACAGCCTAGACATATTTTGTGTCTGAAGTCTGCTTTTTTGCTAAGTTTGCTAAGATTGCACTGAAGCTACTAGCTTAGGTAGCTAACAAGCACTATTTGGCATTCAGCCTAAATCATCACATTTGTCTTAAACTGTGCTGAGTTGTTAAATCATTTAAAATAGACTTGCTTATGTGGTCTCTGATACTGACATACCGCCTTTAATAAAGGACAAAGGCCTCAATATGGCACCTTTATTTGTTCAGCTATTCAACACACGTTGGCCAATCTTTGTAGGCAACACTGTTAAGATGGTTTCAGAAAACCATGTAAACAAGTCTGTTTGAGATTACTTTGAATGTGTGATGATTTAAATATGTGTTTTGCACAAGGCTAAGTGTTGGTATAAGTCTTCTTTACTTGTTAGCTAAATTAGCAGATGTGTAGGTTGCTGGTAAGAAATGATCTTACTCAAATATTTTTAGTGGTTCTTAGCAAACAATTGCAATGAGTTGCTCTTCCCTGTCATACAGCAACAGAAAGCAATAATCAAGACTAGTTTGAGGCAACTCGACACATTTTGAGACAAGTTTACGATGAGTTAGGCATGCAGTTAGCACCATGCTAATTGCTTCTATTGCTTGTTAGCTAGATTTGACTCATATCTTTAGCACAAAACTAAGGAACAAACAATGAGTACATTTGGGGTAAAAGGAGAGTTGTGTAAAAGTTGTTTTGTGGCTTCTTGTACCCCAGATAGCAAGGCCATATTGGTCTGCTGGCTTGATATGGTTTGCACCCCACTGACTGCATGCCACTGTTGGTCCACCCTCGGACCATCTATTATTGTCGATTTTTGTCCTGCATACAAGGTTTTTATAATCTCCTCAAACAGATTTTTTAAATGTTTACAGCTTGGAACAAAAACTAAGACAATTATTACAAACAATTGAGAAAACAATGAACAATTAAGCCTTATATAAAATTATTTTGTTTGAAACACTGCTGACATTTTGCTAGATTAGCAGCTATATCTATATATGCTGTATCTACAATATCAATGTTAAAATTATCACCTGTACAAAGGATAGCAAATGAAAGAAATGCAGGAAATATAAGCAAATTGGACTGTGGGTGGAAAATGAGCGATGAAAAATGGAATTTTGTCTAATACTCTGCTTAACCATCAGTGGGCCACCCAGAAAAAACACTGAGCAAAAAGCCAGTGGGCCGCCAGCTTTGCCATCAGAGGCCCAACAGTGGCCTGCTATCTTCTTGCTGTCTAGGAGCTGATACACAGATGCAAAGGTCAGACTTGTGCTACACTCTTAACCTTGCTCGGCTTTCCTTCAGCTGACTGCATGTGTCGTCAATGTTATTAGTCTTTTAAAGACAGAACAGAAATCCTGACATTAAGATCTCCACCAGCGCACTTCTGAAATAACCTGACAGGCTGACAACCTGACCACCTCATTAGAACACACTGGCATTATATTGCTTTATTACTTCTTTCATGGCCTGTAATTGATTGCCACACTGCCACATTAAATACCCCCCCCCAGTGACACAGGTTTGCTTTCCATGATGTCACAGCATTACAGTATCAAGTCATCTTTGCTAGAGTACCACACAGGCTATTATCAATCAACAGAGCAAGAGCTAAAGGGCTATTAGAAAGTTAGCATCACGTTCACCCAACAAGGCCAGATGCTAGACACAGCAGCAGCAATCTTGGGCTGTATCTGTACCCGAAAACAGGAAGGCGGCCGATTAGTTGGTGAAGAAACCTGAAGAAGCCTGAAAGTCACACCTCGCTGGGGCTGTAACGCGAGCTCCATGTGAGGAAACCTGAGTGAGTCACATGAGCCAAATCCCCACTGTTCTGTTCCACTAGCACACAGTGTCCCCACAGACCCACTGTACAGCAGACTGTTGAGGCTCAGCGTTGCCCATAACTCAGCCAGTCCAGTGTTTTGTCAGGATTTGGTCATTCTAAGGAGTCAGGAGTCCCAAAAAAACCTTCGCTCTGCCGACCTTCCATGAAGGCATGTCAGACACTGTGTCCTGGAGAAGCCAGGAGAATAATGAGTGGAGCCAGCCAGACTCAACTGTGCACAAGGTGTGGATCTCCTTAATAGGAGGTAGGACGGATTTTATCCTTTGATCATAAATGGGAGTTCCCAATAGGGGACAATAGGCCCTCATGGGGTTTAACTGTATTCAAGTTGCATGTGTGTAATAGAATCACACTTATTGCTGTGAATCATCAATGCTTGTACAGTGAATCGAATCATTAGTCTTTGCAGCTTTTAAACACATCCGTAGTGTAAATTTGATTTTGTTTTCAAAAAGTTGTGCTTAATACATGAATGCAAAGACTTCTCATTCTTTAAACCTTGCTTGGCCTTCCTTGGCCTACACATCTGGAAATGACCGCCCACTGCAAGACTAGTAAATACCACTAAAGATGGCTGCAAAACAGAAATCGTTCCACATTAAAGGGCCTACATCATGGAAAATTTATTTTCCTCATTTCTTAAAACTGAAAAGAGGATGTAATGTTCACTCTCCAGTCTGTACAGTCCATATATAGAAAGCTGCTCATTTTGAATTTGATGTCACAAAACCCATTACATTTACATAAATCCACCGTTCAGCCTACAGCAGTTTAGCTTCACCCATTTACACTGAAGTTATAAGAAGTGTTTCAGCTTGGACTGCGTTTTGAATGAGGCACAATACAGAGCAGCCAATCAGAACAGAGGTCATTAACATACGTCAGTCTTAAAGTTACAAAACTGTTTAATTGTAAGGGATAAAGAGAGGTTAGAAAATATTCATGTAAAAAGAAATTATTTTGGTTCTTAACATCAAAAATGGGGCATTTTAAGCTTTATAAAGGTTCTTCACACTCACATTTCATTTACAAAAAAAAAACGTGTTTTAAAGAACCATTCAGTGAAAGGTTGTTTAAAGGGACACTCCAGCCAAAATTAAAAATTTTCCTGCTGACTACATATGTTGTAAACATGCCTGCTCGCCTACAGTAGTGCTGCAGTAGTTTCTAGACTGAGAGTTCCTGGTTTAAAGTCTAGGAAACCCCCTTCCTGTGATGTATCTTGAAGGGAAAAGTAATGTTTGAAAAACTTCAGGGAGTTTTGGGGGCTGCAGCCATGCTGTCCCTTTTCAGATATGATTTGACAACACTATAGCATCTGACATTTTCTATGACAAAACTCAACTGTTTGACTATATTTAGGATTGGTTGAATTTTTGTCTGAACCAAAGATGATCACAAGTACGCTGAGAGTCTTTCTGAAGAAAACTGACAAACCTGACAATAATACCAGTGATAAATCATTTTGAATGTGATTATCTGTAAGCTTTTATACAAACTTCCTCCGTGTAGCTTATGAGCACATTATCGCACAGCTTTCTGCAGTCAGTCTCTTACTCCTGCATTAACAAATCAAGGCAATAATAAGGATCTTACTGCGAATATTAGCCCCTTAATTAGTCAAGACCCACCGGTAGGCCCAAAGTTTTATTACATACTTCTATAACCTAAGAATAGCTCTGTCCCTGTAGTTACTGAATAATACGCCTTAGAATGTAATAAGCCTGATATTTGAAGGGGTTAAAGGGAATCACATTTTCAAATGTTTCAAAATTTTCATGTAAATGAGTCATTAAGATGGAAACAAAGTCATTCAGAGTGGTTTGACGTGAAATGCTCTGGTGTAGAGAAACAGAGTCGGAATTCTCTGCAGTGGCGATGATAGGAACCAGACATCCAAAGTGTTTAATGCCCCTATAATCGACATCACAGGACGTTATTACATGAAATGGTTATAAATACACTTATGCATTGTTTTATGGTAGTTTTGAGACAAGCTTTTGACCTAAAAGGCAGTTTTTTGACAGAGAGGTAAATGCAGGGCAAAATAGTACTCAAAGTAAACATTTTTATTTTTTTTTTATTTCACACTATGATTATCATCATTACGTATAATTGTTTTGGGCAGTAACTTAAATGGCTATATCTACAGTGTAGACATGACAAACCCTGGTTCCTATCACCACCACTGTAAAGAATCCTGAGTCAGTAAGTTTCTCTACAATGGACCATTTCACACCAAACCACTCTGAATGACTTTGTTTACATCTCAGCGATTGTATTGTAACTTTTGAAAAATCAGTGGAATTGTGGTTTCAAAGCCTGACCATCTGACCTATATCTAACCTCTTGCGTGAGCTTGTTGATGCTGAGGGATCCGTCCCGTGCACGGTTCATTCACTCTCACCACTTGTTTTTTTGTGGGTGACCTGGATAAACACAATGCCACCTGGCACAAGAGGATGGATATGTGATCTTCGTGTATTCTTGCGTTTGGGTCTCAGGAGCAACAGAGAATGGAGGGAGACAAATATGGAAAAACGTAACCCTGGCTCAGATACACCGATCAGCCATAACTTTAAAACCTTTGTTTCTACACTCATTTTATCAGCTCCACTTACTATATAGGTGCACTTTGTAGTTCTACAATTACAGACTGTAGTCCATCTGTTTCTCTATTTTGTTAGCCCCCTTTTACCCTGTTCTTCAGTGGTCAGGACCCCCACAGGACCACCACAGAGCAGGTACTATTTGGGTGGTGGCTCATTCTCAGCACAGCAGTAACACTGACGTGGTGGTGGTGTGTTAGTGTGTGTTGTGCTGGTCTGAGTGGATCAGACACAGCAGTGCTGCTGGAGTTTTTAAACACTGTGTCCACTCACTGTCCACTCTATTAGACTCTCCTACCTCGTCAGTCCACCTTGTAGATGTAAAGTCAGAGACGATAGCTCATCTGCTGCTGCACAGTTTGTGTTGGTCATCCTCTAGTCCTTCATCAGTGGTCACAGGACGCTGCCCACAGGACGCTGCTGGCTGAATATTTTTGGTTGGTGGACTATTCTCAGTCCAGCAGTGACACTGAGGTGTTTAAAAACTCCAGCAGCACTGCTGTGTCTGATCCACTCAGACCAGCGCAACGTACACTAACATAACACCACCGTGTCAGTGTTGAGAATGATTTACCACCCAAATAATACCTGCTCTGTGGTGGTCCTGTGGGGGGTCCTGACCATTGAAGAACAGGGTAAAGAGGGTTAACAAAGTAAACAGAGAAACAGATGGACTACAGTCTGTAATTGTAGAACTACAAAGTGCACCTATAAGGTAAGTGGAGCTGATAAAATGGACAATGAGTGTAGATACAAGGATGTAGGTTTATTATGGCTGATCGGTTCGTGCAGTTATAAACACTTAAAGGGGAAGGCCACAAATTTTTCAATTTTTCTGAATAATTAAATGGTTGAGATGTAATCAAACCCATTCAGAAGTCCATGTCACAGATAACTACATTTTTTTTTTTATTGTGCTATGTAAACACTGCTAATGTTTCAGAACATAGCAGTTTTTTCCCCAGTTCATTTATGGAATCTAAGCTGAGTTACATATAATAGTCTTAAAGTACACAATTAGTTTAGTTTTAAAAAATGAAGACAAGTTGGAAATGAATGGAAATGTAGAAATGAATTACGACTATTTTTGGTACACATGAATGTTAAAGGGAACTGAATAATGCAGAAATTTTGAAAAATCAGTGGACTTCCCCTTTAAAAGTGAAACACGGGGCGAGGGGTGCGGGGTAATAATAACATACACATATAATGTATCATATTGGGCCCTTCACACAGGTAAATCTCACTCCTGGGGCACCACCGTAGGAGGTGAGTGGGCATGTTGTTTTTGGCTGGAGCGCCGCTTTAAATTATACACTACTGCATGACTTTATTACAGGTTTATGTTTTTCTGCGCTCTGATTGGTCAGTTTGAGCCCGAACGCGAGTAGCGGTCTTCTGCGCTCTGATTGGCCCCCCTAGTACCACGTGACATCCCTTTAAGCTGTTTCTCCAGGCGCTCGTTCACTTACACACATTCGGCCTCAGCATGGCAGAGCGGAGGGCGGTTCAGCGTAGACGGTGTTGAGGATGAGAGAGCGGGGTGCGAGGACTTTATCTTTCCGTAGTTGAAAGCTGAGGACGGAATATCGCGCTGAGGGAGTTTATTCGGACCTGTTCGACACTTTGTTTCCTGCTTCATGCTGCTTTTCTCGGACGGAGCGCGTTTTGTTTTTGTTTTTGCAGACTGTGCGCCTGTGGGCTGCTTCTCCATTCATTACCGTCGCTGCTGGGCACTTTTAGCATGTTAGCAGCGGTTTTTTTGCAGCTTTAAGAAAATTTGGGGCGACAAAAAGTGCTTAAGTTGTCGCTGTTTGTGGTTTCTCGGGCTTAGAATGATGAAATTGAGCTGCGCTGGCAACTAACTTAACTTAGTTGGCTGGAGAAGAAGGCTGCGCAGAGAACGCGAACGGACGAGACAGCTTCCTCTCTCGACAACTTGTAGCTGTTTGTTTTGTTTGCTTCCCCCATGACTCTGGACAACCTAAAACACTCCGCTATTCTCTCGACTTTGTTTAAAATGGCAGATGACAATGACCTGATAGGAGCCTCCGAGTTTATAAAAGGTAAGTTTGTGAGGCGAAGTTTTGTTGGACTGTGATTCGTTGCTGTGCTAAGTTTGAGTCTTCAGTTTCGTTAGCGTTGCAGTGCGGTAGTAACTGATCCCACTCAAACAAACCAGAGCTTTCGAGCTGAGTAACTTTTTGGGGGTGTAACGATACACCCATGTTCAGCTTCGATACGACATTTAATTCTGCGGTGCAGATTCGATTTTCGATATTTTTGGGTTAAAATAAAATGGAAAAAATTGACCTGCTTTTTATTCGCCAGCTTTTTAAAAATATGTAAGTATTTCTACTTTTCCATTCCACCTTAAATGGTGCAAGTGTTACATCCTGGCACGTACACTGTTTAAGGTGGAGCAGAAAATTCAAATTTGCAGCCAATTTCAGTCTCATTCTAATTGTACTGCACAGACTGTTAAAAAATACAAATACATTTAATTTGAGAATTAAAGATTATAAAGTACCATATGTCCTTGTGCAAAATAAAAATATTTAAAAAGTGCAAATGAGCCATAAACAACACAAAAATAAGTTTTCTCAGACAGTGCTTTTATTGAATGACAGAAAATAAGACACTCAGGAACAGCTGAGGGTGTTATTGCCAATACTGTCTTAAATTGTAACTCACTTTTTTTCAGATTCTGTGTTGAGATTGTTACACCCTGAATTATAATCTGTTTTATTAGCATTCCATTTGAAATAGATCATCTAGCATAGCAGTGACATAGTAGTCATTATGTTTAGTAATACAAACAGGTTCTGTAGCTAACACTGTACTGGTTGTGTGGAACATTGAAAGGCTGTAAAAGGGATGGGCGATATGGCAAAAATACACTATTGCGATACTTTATGACTTTCGCAATACACAGCCTGTTATAATAGTTCATGAATACAGTGCTTTTTATTAAACATTCCACTAAATCCAATTAAACAGGAATAATTGTGCTCTGAAATGAAAAAGTCTCTAACCTGTTGGTAAGATGGATAGACAAAGCACTTTTTGTAAGTCGCTCTGGATAAGAGCGTCTGCTAAATGCTGTAAATGTAAATGCTCTTTGACAGTTTCCGTGACATACTCAGAAAAGCGTATTGTGACAGAACTTAACATTATGAATGTCGTCACAGTAACGTTGGTGTAGCAAATGCATGTAATCTCAGCCTCCTTACCGCAGACTTTCAAGCTTCCTCTTGATTTAAACGCGTTTTCTCTTATACTCACTTGTGTTTATGTTTCCCCAGATCGACTCTACTTTGCCACGTTAAGAAGCAAACCGAAGAGCACAGCGAACACGCACTATTTCTGCACGGATGATGAGTTTGTGTATGAAAAGTAAGTGTGGCCTCCCCCACCCAGCCTCCTCCAGCAACACTGAAACACTTACGCAACTGTATACTGGGGCTTTTTCCCATCGAGTCAGAATTAGCAAACAGTGATGTTTTCCCCCATTCTTCCTCGTTTACATAATGCAATTGGCAATCAGTTTATACTGTTTCGTGCTGTGAGAGAAGAGCCTATAAATAGACTGAAGTTTCAGACATGTAATTAAAGTGTTTCAGTCTCTGATTAAGGCTCAGTTTCCAAATAACTGCCTTCTTTCATATTAAGAGTAGTCTGAAATTAAGTTTTGCATGTGTGTTTGTTTGTTTTTAAGCTTTTATGCAGACTTTGGGCCCCTGAACCTTGCTATGCTGTATCGATACTGCTGTAAACTCAACAAGAAGCTGAAGGTGAGCGATACTCGCGTTTGTCTTTTTTTGCTTTGTCACAAAATATGTACAGTATGCAGCTACAGTAACACGTGGATTTTCCACTCCTCCTCACTGTCTGCGTTTGTAATGTCATTGGCATTCAAATGCATTACATGCTGACATTTTACTTCAGCGCTGTGTGGGTCGCAGGGTAGCTTCCAATGCAAACAAGCTGCGATCTGTTATTCAAACGAGCACCAAAGAAGGTCCTCTTTCAGGGCCTCAATCAAGTTCGAGTCTGCGGAGGCAGCCAGAGTTTGCTGCATTACAAGAATTCATAACTGTAAAACAGTGTGTTCTTCTTTAAAATGAATTCCTCCTCTGTAAACGATGTGCTGGTGAAATTCTTCAGCATGGTAGCCTTTGCCAACACGGTGTAAGCCTTTCTGTTTTTAGCCTCTGACTCACCTGTCTTAGAGCTACGCAGGCACTTTGGTCTGGACACAGACACAGACACTGTCCTCCGGGATCCCAGGACACACTTCGCTGAGAGCCTCCTCGTTACTCAGCACTTTGTGTAGCCTCAGCTCAACAGTAATCACAATTTGAGCGTTTTGCACAAAAAGCAGCAAGTCGAGAAAGCCTGGCTGACTCTTGACCTTGAGCCTGCTTCAGCCTATGATTCCACACATGCCCACCATGAAGCCCCGTAGATAGTTGATGTGCTTTCTGTTAAGAAAAGCTCAAATGTTCTTTCCCTGCACTTTTTGGCAGGACTTCAGTCCACCTCTCAGTCTGTAGCCTGTACACCAGAAAAAATAATAGCCTTATGAATGCATAGCTGCTTGTTTAGAATCAGAATTGGATCTATTTCACTAACAATATTGCACATGCAAGGAATCTGATTTGGTGAGTATGACATACAATAGCCTTCAAAAGATTGGAGTCACTTGCTGTGCTTATTTATTTGTTGTTATTATTTTAAGTAGAGTAATAACTTACACAACATGGTCTGACATGTTATAAACTGTTTATAAACAATACTTTTAGATGTTTTATTCAATATTTTTTAAAGGATTAATGGAATAAAATAATAAATAAATTTGTTTATATTCATTTTTACAGTATGTTATATTTTTATTTATTATGTTAGAATGTATTTCTTCATGCTGTACAGATCTCTAAAATCTTGTATGGCTTTCATTCCTCATTCTGGACACAGCTTTAATTTATAGGTTCCTAGTGCCCTGCTCATTACTAGAAAACCTTTTAGAATTGCTTTAGCCACTTTTATTTGTTATTGAAAGCATTGATTCCAAGATAACTAAACACATCACACAAATAGATAGATAGATAGATTCAACTTTGTCATTGCTCAGTACAAGTACAAGGCAACGAAATGCAGTTAGCATCTACCACAAGTGCACATAGTAGCAATAGTGCAAAACGGACAGTGCAAATGTGCAATAACAGGCATAAATACACAAGGGTATTACCATATATTATATTTACAGAAGACATCAGATGACACACACTTTTTATTTACAACACAAATATAATGGCTACTTTGGCGTTGCACTCCCTGATTCCCATAAAGAAATTCTGAGTCAGTGAGGTTCTCCACGGTGAACCATTTCACATCAAACCATTCTGAATTGCTCATTGAATTCATTATTATTTTAACTTGTGGAATTCCCTTTTAAAAAGCCAAGCTATATAAAGAGCCATGAAGAGATGGTGTGAATATGTACACATGTGCAAGACATGTGATCCAGTTAGCGCAGCTGCTGAACATTTCAAAGAGTTCAGTTGTACAGTTGCAGTGTGCAACAGGTTCGCTACAGTATTTCCTCTCCTTAGTCAGCTGCTTCATTCTGTAGAGTGCCATTCATCCGGTGTAGCTGCATCCAGTGGTGTCTGGCTCATGACCGGGGTTTACTTGTCTCCAAGGATTTGCCACAGAAGGATTAGACGAGTGCCTGAGTGCTACTTTGGGCGCATTAGTCAGTGTGGGGGAGGGTCAGCGGCTAGGTCAAGCGTTCCGGAAAAAGGAGGGATATGAGGTAAGAGAGCCTCTGGAGCAGATGTGATGGATGCTGTTAGGGAAGAGCTTCATCTTGTTCAGATCACTTCAGATCACTCACCACCTTTATGTACTGGGCCCATCACTGAATATCCGTTACCAAGGGCACAGTTATGGTTTCAGAAGTAAGAAGGGGGCGCAATGAAGTTAGAGCTGACCTACTGAAGTGCTGACCCAGGATAACCATGGGAATAGCTTGGTGTCGCTTATGGATCTATATGTCAGGGTGGGTTTTTAACCATTTATACATAGGCCTGTTCAAATAATTGAGCTGACTGCAGTATTTTTTTTATTGTTAGCTTTCACAATCATACGTTTCCATCACAACAAAGAAAATGTGAATTGTCTGCGTTTTCAACTGTGGGATTGAGGCAAATAAAGAAATAAAATAAAAGGAAAAAACATTTATTAAGCTATGACATAGGTCTTACAAAAACAACTAAAGTTCACACCGGTGCTATAACATGTTTAGAGAGCAGCAGTGAGTAAAGTTTGTTTATTTGGGCTCGAGCTTCAGTTCGGAATTACTGTTTACCGACAAAGAGAAATCACCCAGTTTGGCCACTTTAGGCACATGGTGTAAAGAGTAGTTCCATCAATTTGTCGAAGTTTTGTGCAAAATAAAATGTAGTTGTTTAGTTAGATGTAAACAAAGTTATTCAGAATGGTTTGATGTGAAATGCTCCGTTCTTAGAGTCAGAACTGTTTGCAGTGACAGTGCTGGGAACCAGGCATCCAGCTCATTTAATGCCTCTAAAAGCTCCCCCATAGGACATTGTTTCACATTTTAGACATGATTATGAATACGCTGACTTTGTTTTATGGTCATTTTGCAATAAGCTTTTTGGCATACTAAACTCAGAAGATGTGTACGCCCACTAGTGATTTTGGGTAGTAAATAAAAAAAAAAGCTCTATTCTCTGCCTTATAAACATTACAACCCTGGGTTCGTATCACCACGACTGTAAAAAGATTAGAGGCTCCACAGTGAACCATTTCACATCAAACCGCTCTGTATATGTTCTGAAGAAATTTTGAAAAGTTGGTGAAATATACAAAGTATACAAATTGTTGATTACAGCTATTTCTAAGTCAACTGTCAACTGAAATTCCATGATTGTGACAGGCCTCTTCATATTATGATTCTATTTCTGTACACTTGCTTATGACAGCTGGTCAGTAAGACTGCATGTGTTCTATTTAGCAATTTCCCCATCATTTAACCGCACATTGTCCATTACTCACTGTTTCTTTCTCAGAATATCTGTGTGCTTGAATGGTGAGGTTATTTACAGTCCCCTATTGCTCTTCACAGTTTCGTGTCAGTGTCAGTTCATTATCAAGCCCATGATGGGTGGAACCGGATGTTTCAAGGCAGAAACATCTCCAAGCAGTGCAGTGCTCTGGGCCTCCAGGACTTAAAGGGGGTTTCCACAGATGCTTTTTTTTTTTTTTTAAAACATGTAATTCAGTTGTTGAGATGTAAACAGTTATTCAGAGTAATATGTTGTGAAATGGTTTAATGTAGAGAAACCTAATTAGATTTCTTTACAGTGGTGGTTATAGGAACCATGGGTCTACAATGCAAATGTAGCCATTTTATTTGCTGTTCAAAACTATCAGTGAACCTGTGTTCTGAACTTTTGCATGTAATGCTGGTAAATCTGAAAAAAAACATTTTCTTTGGATGCTTATTGCCATTTTTAAACACACTGCACATAACTCTCTGACATTAATAGATTTTAAAATAAATATTTTAGGCCGCAAGCTTCCCAGAACTATTAATCAATGCCTCAGGCACATTTCATAACCATTTTATGTAAAAACTTTGTGAAGTCGCTTTAGGAGGCATTAAACTCTGGTTCCTCTCACCAACACTGTGAGCAGTTCTGATTTTCTCATGGCATTTCTCATCCCAATGACTAGATCTTACCTAAATCATGTAGCATTTTTGAAAAATCTGGAATTTTTCTTTAAATCTACTTACTGATCTCATATGGGAGTGCAAATGTTGTGGGGTTATGGGTTCTTCAGTGTTTTGTCTTTTGACTGTAGGAATAAATGTACATGGGGAAGTCCTAGATTGGCACTTTTACTATAAAGCACTGAATTACTGTTACTTTCAGTGAACATCATGTTTGTCTTTGTAAATCTGCTTAATCTGTGTGTCATTACACCTTTTACTTTTTATCTTTTCAAAGTTCAACGCTGAGCGAAAAGTGAGCTATTTGGGCTCTCATAATTGGTTAAACCTTCTAACCTCAGTTTCCAATTACCCTAATTTTAGCGAAGGTCATTGAGGAGGACAGAACCCAAAGCTCAGGGGAGCTCCAAGTCCACCGTGTCTATGAAATGACTGAGTCAGTTTCTTCATCGTCGCTTGTGGCCCTCTACCAAACCCTTAATTGAGGGGTTGAAATAATCCCTGTTCTGTCTCTGTGTGTTCTGTTCTGTGTTTCTGAAGCTGGCCAGGTGTAGTTACCTCATGTGTTCATGTTTCGGATTGTTAAAGGTAAAGTCCTTCAGCAGAAGCATGAAGCTCTGTGTTTCCCTTCTTTCTTTTTCTGTTTAATTCTTAAATGCTCTCACACTGCACCCGCCCTCCCAACCGCGTCTGTGTGCCCCCGCCTTGTGTTTCTACCATTTACTCTGTGTCTCCATGGGGACGACATTCTTCCTGAACCCTCGCTGGTATGGGCCTGCATGTGAAAAAAAACAAAACAAAAGACAAGGAGGGAAGTGGAAGAGAGGAAAGGAGTGTGTTTCTATTGTCAGGAGAACATATAATTGATGAAATTACAGTGCTTTAAAGTTGCATGTGTGGCAGGTTATGCTGAGCCAGTTTTCCCCCCTTGCTGAGTGGAGCTTTTGCAGTCTCAAAGCAAGTGTTTTTACGCACCGGCTAATAAACGCTGCTAAACTTGATATTTTTGTTTAGCTCCCATCTGTTTTCATTGGTTTGACTCATTTACTTATTTGATTCTACTCTGATGGTCCATTTTTTTCTCTTCACTAGCACCTGCACCCCTGTGCATGCTTACAGCCCCGATTTGCTGTGACATACTGGGTTTTTATCTGGTTTTCTGTTAAGAAATAACAGATGCTGGTATTCTGTATTGACTCATTGCAGTGGAAATGCTGCCAGTGAAAGTTTTCCTCTCATCACAAAGTGCTGTCATTATTAAAAATGACTTTCTTAATGAATTGACAAAGATTACCTTGCAATTTGCATGATAATGAATATTAAATGATTGATTGTACATCATTATTGCTATTAGTTATAGATTTGTCTTTGTATTTTTCTGCCAAATATTTATCCGTTAACTCATCCCGTTTTCGAGATATCAGTTTACTTCCAACTCTGGAATGTTCAGTCTCATGGGAATTGGTAGGCAATGATTATTTGTGGGCAGAAGTTTGTGCATCCTGCTTTTATAGCTCTACCAACCTTGTGGGATACAATGGCAACTACCTTGCAATGACCTGGGATGCCACCTTGCAACCCCCGAACAACCACCTAGGATACCATTGCCACCATCTAGAAACATCTTAACAACTGCCAGAGTTAACAACCACCCAGCAACACCCTAGGAACCACCAGAGATACCATAGCAACAGCCTAGCAACCACATGGAGCATTCTTTTTAGACACCAGAGATACCATAGCAACATAGCAACATACTACTTTTTTCAGTACACTTTTCTAGTTCTCCCCTGGTGTCTCTAAGACAGGGCCTGATTAGCCTAATTATTTGTATTTTCTTCCTGCATTGTAGTAAAGTATTTTAGAAGCTTTTGTTATTGTTCAGGCAGTTCCAACTGTGGCATTAAAAAAAAACCTGATTAATCTTTAAAGTAATTGGTTATAGTGACAGCCCTAGACTTCAAGTGAGAGCCCCAGAAGTTACGCTGATGGGCTATGTATTAGTCCATATGTGAAAAGGAGGGCACCTGGAGATTTCCAGCGATATGTCCTCTCTTTGCTCCTAAGTTAAAGGTAAAAAAACTGCAAAAATGTTTTTGCGCCATTGTTATAGTTCAAATCTGTAAAAATACTTTTTTTAATTAAATCTGTGAGCTAGGAGATCTACCACACTACACAGTTTAGTTCCCTAATCAAACATACTGATCCAGCTAATCAGGCTTTTCAGGAGTCGAGCGCTGTGCTTGAAGCAAAGTATAAGAGCACTAACAGTTGAAGTAAGACTAATAATCTCATTTTAAGTGCTTTCACAGGGTTGTGTTTCAGGATAGAGTAGCCTTTGAGCTGTGCATGTGTTTGTTATAACTGGTTCTGTAGCAGAGTGGTTAAGTCACTTACTCAGGGTTCAAAACCTCTTAACGGCATATTCCTACCAATCTAATCACGTCACGCTGTGCATGTGTAATGTAATTTGATATGTCTTCGCAGCCATTACGATGCGTCTGTTGTGAAAAGTCATAACACAATAGCGATAAAAATGTGATTAATCGTGCAGCCCTATTCCACATTGTGTGCGCCTGCTGTCTGGGTTGTTTTTACATTGCCTGTTGTGTTGCATTGTGGAATTCTAAGAATGCACTGGATATTCTCCTCTGTTTTTGGAAACCAGAACAGGCTACCAGTAGATTAAATATTTGTTCTAACTACCCTTGAACTAGTGAATGTGTTTTTTTTTCCTCCTCTTCCTGAGTGGTCTAGTTTTTACGCCAACGCTGTGGATATTTGTCTGCCACATGTGCTGCAGTGTAGGAGCAGATGCTGCAAGGCCGTTTTGGTTCAAATCCAGTGCAGATTAAACAGAAGCGTTCGTCTCGGCTTGTTGGCTCCTTGCATGATCAGACTTACCTCTGACACTAAAATGCAAAGCTGTCTCTCACACACACCTGCAGCCCACCTGCTGCTCCCCTCCCTGTCGCGCCTCAAGGCTTGGGGTTGCAGCGGCAGCTGGGACAGATGCTGGAGCATCTGTCTGTATGTCCCTCATGTTCGCCGCGAGCCGTCCAGATGCACGCTCTGCTCAGTTAGCTACTGAACACATGAGCTCAGCAGGAAAAGAAAAGCATTGGGTTACCTCTGGGCGTTGTAGAGTCGTTTGTGGATTTAGTAGCAGAGATGAATGACAGTTGAATATTGTCAGGTATCGAATACTCACTTCACCTAACATGTCGTAATAAGTCCTAATAAACGGTTGTGTTTGCAGTGAAATCTACATTTACATTAACCACTGTGAATAATCAGCACAACCTTTTTTTTGTACATATGATGCTTTTTTGCATTTTTTGCTCTGAAATATTTGTCACAGCATGATGTTTGCTGTTGTCGTATTGTTTATAATATGTATAACCTTTCTTATTCCATTGTGTTGCCCTCTAGTCTTTCACACTGACCAGAAAGAGGATTGTGCACTACACCAGCTTTGACCAGCGCAAGAGGGCTAACGCTGCTGTCTTAATCGGTGCCTATGCTGTGAGTATCCACTTTCTCTCCACATAATCGATCTTTACTCTTGCGCCCCCCCCCCACGTCTCTTTATGATGTCATCCCTAGTGCTTTTGCACTGCTGCACAAACAGTGCATGCGCTTACACTTTTACATGCATGCAGTCATATGCAAAAGTTTGGATGCCAATTTTTTGTGTTAATTATGTGAAAATAATCAACACAAAAAACAAGAACACACTTCTGCACATTTTAATACATGACTACTTTATATTTGCTGACTTTAATATTGGGGAGAAAATAGAACAGTGTGGCCTGTTTTTTCTATTATGTTCAACTCAGCAAACAAATAGAAATTGTGCACTGACATTTGCATCTTTAAATTCTGTGCTGACCTATTTTCATTTTTAAAATCAACAAAATGACAAGGGGTGGTCAAACTTTGTATTAACTGGATCTAAACACAACAGATAATTGGGTTCAATGTGATAATCATTCAAGTAACTAATTTTCACTTCACTTAGTTGTTACTGACAGTAAGGACAGTGGAATCGTGCTGTTTTGTGTGGCCCCAGACGCAGCCGGACAGGTGGCTATGTTTACAGCATATTAATATCGACACACATGCAGTGCACGGCTGTGCCACGCTTTTGTGTGCTCTTTGACATATATATATATATATGACATGATTTGAGTTTCCAAGTGAAAATAAGTTCTCACAGAGAGCAAATTTGGGGCAAAGAAACACATTTCAAAGCACATTTCATAATTCATATTATCATAAAACTTGATGAAATGTGGCATACCTTTTGCACAAGTCATATATATATTTTTTTTTATTTATGTTTATTTAATTCTGTAAATAAACAATAAATGTGCATAGAAATGTGCAGAAGACTGGACTTTAGCCTGCTGCAAGTTACTTACCTGCTTCCAAATAGTGAAGAATTACATACATCACAGAGAGAGGTTAAAACAAGATAGTTGTGGGGGGCTGAATTCTGTGACTTATACTCACACCTTTGTGATCGAAAACCATTTATGATGAAAAAAGTTACTTTTATGGCACAGTCTTCAGGGTGAATCTTGAAAAAAAATCTGAATGCTGTAAAAATACACAGATGTTACAAAAGATGTTGCTATGGTAATACAGGATGACTAAAAGCATATTGAACCAATTTAACTACATAAAATGTCCATGTCACATTATACCCTGCTTTAGATTGCACCCTACTCTCCCCTGTATAAATATATTAGATATATTTTATTTATACATTCACGTACTCAATATATGTAAAACTGGACGTGCTTATGACCTCATGTCCTGTCCTTGAACAAAAACCAGTCAGTGTGAGTGCGTATGTGTGAGACACTGTCTCAGCTGTGATCCCATTTCCACCCACCACCCTGATCAACCAGACAGAGAGAACAGGCTGCTGACGGACTGATAGTCCACCACATTGTGCGCTCACATTAACGCAGACTTTCTCTCTCTCTGTCCGGATGCCAGTGTGTCCTGTTGCTCGGCGTCCATTCATCCACCACTCCTCCACCATTAAGCCCCCCCGCCTGCCGAGTACCAGTCACACACAAGCAGCTGTGAATGGTATCACTTCAGCAGAGCTGCTGCCTCTTAACCAGCGGCACTAAAAAACTCCACTGTTTGAGTCGGTGGCTGTGAGAGGGAGGAGCTTGGCTTCAGCTGCTTAGCCGAGCGCTGTTGTGGTAACACGTTCATATGATAATAGAATGATAATATGGGTCATCGTTTCGCAGGCTACTAATCTGCTTTGTCAACGATTGACATATGAACTCTAAAAGGTAGCTGCCTTTTAATCTGTTGCAGTGTCACCAGATGTAAGCTTCAGGTTTTGTTAATATATTTACATGAAAGGAATAGTTTTGTGAAAATAATGTGTACAGTTTCCTCTCCCCTACCTCAAATGTAGTTGATCAGACAGAACCGGTTAGTTAACAAGTGGTGGAATATCAAGTTATGAAGTACTCTCACGAGGACTTGCTTATGTGGTTTCTGACAATGTATTACATCCTGTTATCTATAAACATGGTCAAAAGTAGACATATAGTTCAGGTTAAAAATGGTCGCCACTGTTGTTTTTAGCTGTGCAATGCATATATACACAAATCAAAATGTCTGCATGATTTAATTGTCAGTTCATTCATAGTGTTTTGATGGGAAAAAATGTATTGTGGAGAAATTTACAGACACAAATTTCAATACAAGGGTGTTGATAGTAACCAGGGTTTTTAATATAATGAAAATAATAAAATAGTACTAAACCTGAAAAAATGAGTTTTTTTTTTTGGGAACCATTTTGCCTCACAAAGCCATGTATGCCATGAGTGTGTGTTTTAAAATACATTTAAGAGGCTTTAAGCCAGTTGTGGGGAACTCTCCTCTTCAAGCATACCTGATTGATTTCAATAGTTAATGACCGGGTTTAGTTGGTGTGCTAGAGCAGTGAAATCATCAGACTGTGCTGGACTGAAGCCCTCAGTTTCCCACCCCTCCTTTAAACTCCTCAGACCTTTGGTTCCCATCACTACCACTGTGAATGCTTCTGACTTGGCATGTTTCTCTAGAAACCTCTACAGCGTGTCACATCAAACCACTCTGAATGACTGTTTACATCTTAATTATACAGAAATTTTGAAAAATTGGTGGCATTCCCCTTCAATATAAAAAGTGATTGCAAACTTTTGAACAGTAATGTACCAGCTAGCATTGATCAAACTTCATGCTTCATGTCTGCATGAAGTTAAGTTGTTATATAGAGCTTTGTAAAATGTCATCTGTAAACAACTCAACCCAGTTCGAGGTGTGATGTGGTGATTTCTGCCATGCAGTCTGGGCAGCGTTAATTGTTATGGTGTAATCTTCTGTTAAAGATTAGCCCCAGTGCAGAACTAACGAAGCAAACCTCCAACTCTAAACAACTCTTGGCTGAATAACTGTATAAGGGGGTTACCTTCTCCTTTTACCCCCTTAAAGCATAATTCTTGTTTTCAGTTGTGCATTGTTGGACAGCTGGTTTCATTCTTGGCTGATCGAGTACATTCGGATTAAGTGGGGGACTTATGCAAATTCAAAGTCAGTGAAGGAGCAACTATTTTTTTTAAAAGTATGATCACTGTGAAGATAAAGGGTAAGAGAAGAGTGAGGCAGTTTAGTCATCATAAATATGCATGACTGTTAAATGGGACAGGGGAAGGAAGTTGGATAGGAGATACTTCTCCAGTGTTCCTCAAAGAGACTATTGTCCAGAACTTCGAAGTAAAGGCAACATTGACCATTTCACAGTACAGGGAAGTGATCCGAGCTGGTATTTGTGAAGTCTCTCAGCTTTGTAGTGCTGATCTCTAAGATCTTTTACTCAGATCCCTGTGGATGTGTGACAAGTCCTAGATCTGCAACCCTAATCTGCGGTGCAGACGCTGGAGTTTGTCGAGGTTTTTCGCCTCCGTCTGCATAGTCTGTGGCTTTGAGCCCTGTGGCAAGTAGGGCTGTCACAGTTACTCAGTTAAACTTGATTTATTAAATTAAAAAAAGATAAATGTACATTAATTTACTATTTTGCCTGAAACTACTTTATATATTTTGCACTGTCAAATATTTAAACCAATTTGCTCAAAATTGACCCTAAAGAATGATTTTTTTAACCTAAATAGCAGTGAATTTTGTTGTACAGCTATATAAGTCAGTGAAATTAGCTTCATCAGAGTGTATTTATTACTTCCATGTACAGTAGCATTATTTTCATCATGTGAATGCAGTTCCCATTAACATAATCATGTAATTTCAATAGACTGAAAGCAGCTTCCAGTTCTCAGTGGCTGCATATTCCAATACAACTGTATATGTCATATATCGTATACACAGTCAGTGGTTCTACTCCTGCAATTGTAGTCTCTCTCTCTCATACAGATCTTACAGATCTTGGAGTCAAGAAAAACTGGAGCTTTCCACTTTGCTCTAGCTTTTGTTAGTTTGCTGATCATTGATTTATTGAACATTTAATTATCCTGAATTCTGTCATAGCAAAATACAGCGTGTTGCAGCTAGGCTTCAGCCTGGAGTGCTATAAATGATTTGAAGGAGGAAAAACTAGGAAAATGTGTTTTTAAAAAAACGATTGCATTATCAAGTGTTAACTTTAACAGCCCTTATATATGTGATTGATTAAGTCCTTTGAAAGGCTTCCTCAATAGAATAGAATCTTCTAAAGGGCTATGCATGGTTTGTTGTAGTTCAGTAACTCTATTTTTTTTATTAGACTCTTTTTTTTAAAACTCATATTACTTGCTTAATTGTCAAAATATGTCTCCATTCAAATGATTATTTCTGAAAAAAAGCTTTAGCTGTTTACAAAGTTTGATGTTGGCTATAGAAACGTCAGTATGATTTTGGTGAATGTCAAAGATGAACGTTAACAACTATTTTCATTCAACTTAAGTGAATAAATTGTTTGTTGATACAAACAATGAAATGTTGCGAGTACCTACATTGGAAATGTTGAAAATTTGATTTTGACAGCCCTGCTAGCATTCAGCCAGACTCTGATGGTTCACTGGCTCTGCAGTGAAGAGTTTTCTGGATTATATTCTAGATTTGCGCATAATCTAGCACTCTGAAGAGTGCTCAGGTGGAACGGCTTCGTGATGAATTTGTGTTTATTCATTTGAACTTGAATCCCACATCCTGTTAGCACTTAGTTCTTCTACAGCTGTGGGTCGAGTGCGCTGAAGGCTGTATTTAAATGTGTGAGTTTCTACAGCATTTCCACTGTGTGTAGGAGTGCAGAAGGCACTATGTGGTGTGTTTATATATAGATTGAGGAGGTTAAGAAATGCAGCCTGCTGGTCCTCTCACTGCCCATGACCCTTTGGTCTGTTTCAGCTCTTTCTCTGGAGCATATCTTGGTGTTCCTACGCCAGCCGCTTGACTCTCTGTTCAGCCGCAGTGGGCTTTTAGTCTGCTTCAACACAGTAATGTCTTTCTTTGGCTGG